ATACTGCACATAAAATGCAGCAGCTCTAAGCTTTCAGTAAGGGAGAAAGTAAACGATAAAAGGATCACTAATGTCAGTCAGATTGGCAATAAGTAAAGAATTCTTTGCAAACCTCAGTAACCACAAGGGATATTTACTGAAGATTGTAGAATCAAGCCTGAAGTCTTTCAAAGACAAAAACTGAAGATCTTCTGCAGTATTTATATATGACAGTAATACACAGACCGACCTGATGTTCTACGAAACCCAACTTTGCCTGCAGTGGTTTGATAAAGAAAACCATTTAAGTGAATCACTGATTTCTTCCTGTATCTATGCTGCAGGTAGCTATTTTTGAAGATAAATAAATATGCTCATTTGTATTTAAGCCATGCATCTTTAGCCAATTAAAACCTTTCAGATTCCATAGGAAATACAGCCACTTACAAAGTTAAATTTTTTTTACGTCCTATGAGAAGATTTTCAAAAGAAAATTGATAGGAGCACTTCTACAACACGTTCACATTATTTACCACCACTCGGGACTCAATACTACGCTTTCTGTTGCTCTAACAGCACTTCTGTGGAGCTTTTCTTTAAGTGGCTCTTAAAACCAACATAAAACTTTCAGTAAGTCAAGCACTGCCAGATCCTTCGCTTCGTTTCATGGACGGACATTTCATATTTCAGCTCATGGAGTTTCCAGGAGGGCCTGTCTTAATGGGAAAAAGGTTAAGAGCTCTTAACAATGAACCAGAAAAATACCTAAACTGCAAGAAGAGACAGCAAAGATCAAGGCACTCATAGCATTTGCTTCACAAAACCAAACAGGGTAGTTGAGGCTAGTTCTTCCTGAGCAGGATGGGAAATAGCAGCAGAAATAACAACTACCCAATTGACAGAAAAACAAAGTTAACGTTCCACTAATCTGAACCGAAGTAACACTGGCAAACATCACATTTAAAAGTCATCCCCACATGTCTAGCTCCTCAAAAGCCACACGACCTAATGTAATGGACAAGAATTGATAGTGAAGTTGGCAGATTGCCTGATGAAGGAATAAAACAAAAAAGCCTCTAGGAAAGAGAAAGGGTTTAATTCAATGTATTTCCAAAGGGCTTTGGGAGAATGATGCTGAATATGAATGCTCGGTCATTTTGACTGATGGAGAAAAGAATTGTGTCAGCCTCTAAAATGAACCAGAGTAGAAAGATCAATCTCAAAAAAAGCCATTCATATGAGCTTATAGACTCTCAGGCAGGAATAAGGCTTGAAATGAAGAGGTGGTGCTTGAGAAGCATTTGAATAGCTGAAAACCTGACCAGACTTCCAAGCGATAACAAAAGAACACAGGAATCAACCTAAAGCTGCAGGAGTCAGCTAAAAAAGTCAATCAGTAAATGGAAACCAAAATATTGGTATTAACATAGCTAAGATTATTACGTGCTTATGTTTATAAATACTAAACTCACCCCATATAATTCCAAAGGCACTGACAGCCCCATGTAATGAATCACTGCAGAACGTCAAGCATTGGCTCATAGAAGCACACACTGAGGCACTTACAGCAAAGCTGAAGAACAGCCATTCTTTGCTGATCAGCAAAGCTGCCACACCACTGTCACCTCGCTCAGCCTCTCCATGCTTATGCCCTGAATTTCAGCCTCAATCCACCCCATCACATAACCATAACCTCAGAATATGCAGAGAGATAAACACAGTAATCAATAGCAGGAATGACTCTCGTCGTCAAATCTGGGATAATCATACTCAAGATATGTGAAAATATGCTATGCAAAGATAATGTGTGCACCAGGAGAGGTTATGAAACTGAGCAGGAAAGCATCTGGGAAATAAAAGAAATACAGCCATCCAGGTGACTTCCTGTCTTTTTCCCCCTCCCCTTCTTTACAGAATCCATATTCTCCAACTGGAAACTGGTAGCTTTTCCCAGTGCCAGAGAAAGAAACTGTTTAAAGTGATAAAGATGTGTTATTCATACAGTAGAAAAAATAATTCATCTTTTTTTTGTTTGTGTGTGCAAGAATAAAACAACATGTATTAAGTTCTACCAAATCTTGATGAGAATTTCTTCCTAAATACGTAATGCTTAGAGGGGAAAAAAAGCCACGCTGACACACATTCATATCTCCAGGGTGCGCCCTGAACAGAGTGACATTAGCTGGTGTCTGCATGCTGAGCCTGCAAAAACATTTGAGAGACCACACTGGGGTTCTTACTGCTCAGAAAATCAGTTAATCGCATTTGACATTTGCTGGAGCCTTGGAATCCAGGAGAGAATCAAACCCAACATATTGCAAAAAGAAGAAAAAATAATCTGATCACAAATAAGTTTCAAGGCTGAGTGCAAATTAAAAAAAAAATAACAGTATGTACAGAGAAGAAGCACTCAAGAAAAGATAAACTACTAATGAAAACAGTAAAGTAAGCTACAAAGCAAAAACTCTTCTTGTGGACACAACAAATAGATTATTTTTTTTATAACCACCATATGTTAAATTATATTTAGTTTCCAAAGTGCTTCAATTCTTTATTCTGTCAACAGCAATTCCAGTGCTGAATAAAAGTCCCTGTATTACTCAGGGGGCTGCACCTCCTTTGTCTCAAACACATAAACAAAGCAGATTTTATTCCACGAGCAATGTATATATCTCATAATGATAAACATGGTGTAATACTATGGCTTCCTTGTCAAAGGAGTAAAATGCTCGTTTTCAGCCTTCAGATATATTAAAAATAGGCATGGAAATCCAAGAGATCATACTGGGACACAGAAGAAACAACAGCAACACAAATATTAAGAATTTTCTTATTATCTCCAGATTAATTAGCATTAATAAACCAGGACACAAATATTCTCAACAGGACAGGAAAGCAGCTCAGCAGCACTGATGGAAGATAGAAATGAACTTCTGAAGGCTTTCAGAGCAGAGCAGCTCCAAGTGACACCGCCAGCCAGCTGAGAACACACAGTATTTGTACACAAGGCTGAGGCTCCTTTTTGCTCCCGGTATTTTATGCAATTTTAACAAGAATAAATTGCTAACAATGAAGCGAATATTGAAATCTTTTACTACTATACAAATTCAAACAGGCAAAAAAAGTTTGCAATGTGTTTTAGAATAGATTTTCTGTTGGAGGCACAATATAAACAGTGATTTGCATCAGCGATCATCTTAATTAAACAGCTGTTTACATAAAGTAACATTGATTTACTTCAAATGCTGCTTGGTGTCAACAGACCGTTCATTTAACTGTGGAAGTTTCCTTGAGGCTCAAGTCACTTCTCCCACCTTCAGCAGGCTGCACACAGCTCCTCCACTGCAGACAGCCTGCAGCAAATTCAGTACTGCTATGCTTTATACGAGTTGTTGGGTTTTTTTTTTTTTTCAGAAACATTCTGGAGCACAGCACAGCCTCCTACACTACATCCCTGTGTGACAAGGTGAGTGCAGCCAGCCCTTCTGACCACACTGGCTGCTGCAGGTTGGATAAAAGCACATGCTAGGATCACTTCCTGGGCACTGTGAAGGGACACAGGCCACCCTGCTCTACATGACACACACCCAACTACATCCTGCCCTTCCCTTCCTCTCGGGCTTTGATTTGCTCCCTCCTGATGATACGATTACCAGCTGGCACCAAAGTTCTCCCCTGAATCATAAACTCAAGGCAAAGAGCTAACATTGTTGACAAAGCCTAAGCTGTAAAAAACAATTGGTGACAGATGTTCAAACCAGAAATCAACAGTTCTGACCATCACTAGCCTCTATTTATTTACTTTAATACATTGACAGGACAAATTTTGCTTTCCCTGCTGCCAACCACAATAAGACTAGAAGTACTACAATGACACATAAAATACTATCCAGCTTTCTACAGCCAGTCAATCATCTTTGCCTGGAAAACCTACATGGATGGCATTTCTCTGTAGCTACTTGTAGAAACATTTGGAGAAAGAATGGAGGAGCACTAGCTGAACTAGCTGAAAGGCAGTGAAAAGAGTGAAAGAAAGGATAAAAAGCAAAAGCACTGCAAAACCCTCACTGGTGAAGACAAGGCAAAAGCAAGTGGGTCTCAGTCCCCATCTCAAATGCTTTTACTTGGGTGTAAATCTTCACAGGCAACCAGAATGAGGTAATCTTTTACTTGAAGCTTACAGTAAAGATCAAGCATTTCTTAAGAGGTTCCATGAGCCAGCCCCTGTTCAGTACTTGGAAGCAGGAGGGGTACATCTCAGCTGAACACATATGGAGCTGTCAGACATGTCCTATGTACCCATACCAGAAGTTACAGGAATACACCACGCACTAACAAACAAGACTGCCTTAAGGTGCAGGTGCAGCAGATATTCACCAACAGATTATCCTGAAAAAAGCAGCACCACTGATGCATTCTTGCTGGGAAGAGCCCATGGTTTGTCTCATGGCTGACTAATCCTGTTCTAAATTATTTAGCAGTCAAAACATATCAGAGAAGAATTCTCTGTTGAATAAGCTTCCCAGACACATGCCAGCATTCTCCAGCAATTCCTTTTTGTAATCATTGCCTGCCTCTTTTCCCCATATCTAATGTGTAATTAAATGAATGCCCAACATTACATCAGCGTAAAAGAAAACAAAACAACCAGTTGCGTAATTACAGGCTAAAAAGAGATCTTCCTTCAGTTCCATACACTGAAGTAACCTTAAGGGTGAAGGTTCAGCACAGGTAACACAGTGTAGGCAGACTCCTGCACAAGACATCCTATATGCCAAACCCACCTCTGTGCAGCGCTGCCTTTGGAAGAAGCTTCATCTTTTAGAAGTATTACTACAGTACAGAACTTGTAAATACTGTCATGTCTTATTCAGGGGACTATTTGGCATGGATTAAAGAGACATTCCTAAGCAATTATTTTGATTATTTCTTTCCACAAGAGGACAAGAAATGTGCCCTTGAAATCACAGAACATGAATAACATCTTTAAGCTTGCCACTAAATGACATGAAAACACTTACTGAATATCTTTTCTCCTTTTTTTCTGGGGGTCCACTAGACGAAGAGTATCTCTGATAACAGCTACCTTCACTTCTTCATCAACGGGACTTGGGACATTTTCAAACACCCCAGGAGAGAGCTTTAATTCAGAAAGGGATGGAATTATTCAGTGTAGAAATGAGGATTATTGATTCTACATCTTCTCACCTCCATGTGTAAAACGTATGTGATGAATACACAATGATAGATTACAAAATACTTAAAGAATAAGCAAATATCGTAGTATTTTCAGTATGATGTTACAACAATTTTAGGAAATTTCTCTAGTAACCCAAAATTTAAAGAAGAGATTGTTGCCAACATTACCATTTATATTATACATACAAATGCAAAAAAAAATTCAGCAATCCTCTAAATACAGAGAACAAAACTGCAGGGGATGATGAATAAATGTATTTACGACAAAGACGATGGAGAGCTTTCACAATTCCAATAAGTCATATTGCAAGGATATAAGATTAGTAATGATTTCAAAGCAGAAAATTACAGAGAGCCTCAGAGTTTTCATATTTGTAGACAGCCTTCATATCTCAAACAAGGAAAAAGACCAAAAACCAATCCTAGACAATTTCATTCCCATATCACTGTCATGTTGAGAGGTCTTACCTCTTGCTCGTGCTCTATTCTCATGCTGGGGTTTGCATTTACTTCCAGCAACATGGGCTTCAAGTTTTTCATCAGGAGAATGTCAAACCCTAAAATCTGTGCATAACAAAGTGTGTTACTTTCCTTCTATTTAAGGTGTTCTTCTAGAGAATGCAGTGGTCATTCAGAAGTCAACATTCAGGTGGAAGAAACATTTGAGAGACAGAAAAAAAAAAAACTGAGAAACAAAAAATATTGCCAAATAATTACTGCAGCCATTTGACTTTGATCCTAATATCTACTTTCATACTACACCCAGCTCTAAATAGTGCATCCTACACAGAATTTCAGCATTTATCACAAGTAGGCCTCATTAGGCAACTGCAAAGCTTCATGGCTGCATCATCCAGAAGCTAGGAACTGGAAAAAATATTGCTGCTAATGACTGATATCCTATACAGTAACACAGGTCAGCTGATATTTCTGAGGTAAAACTTGGGTAAGAACTTAAGCCGTGAACTCATACAACACATTGTTCAGGCTGCATCTGCCACTCCTCCTTCCACCACATCTAACAAGTGATAAGCAACAAAACAAATGGCACATCTAGAAAGTGAATCCATGCATAGAAATAACTGCATTCTTGAAATTCCTACCTACCTGGAAGCAAGTTGGCCCAGGCTTTCCTGCTGGGATGTCAGACTGATAGTAAACTTTCAGTTCTGGCGTCAGTGCAATAATTGTTTTAATCACCAGTGAAATTATATCTGACCAAACCTTTTTGACATCAGCTCCTCTGGAAGACAGTCTGCACAGAATGCTTGAGAAAGTCCTCTTGCTGCCAGTGTTTACGTTGTCAGAATGGATGAAATTCCCACTATGGATATTTAGTGAGTAGTTAGTTAAGTGCATAAAAACCTGGTGCAAATTTTTTAGAGTGGGTTCTTGATAGGGCTCTGTACAAAATCTAGAAAGTCCATCTTTGGCTATATAAATCTCTAACGGTTCTAAGGATTTCAGTAAGACATAAAGACGAATATCAAATTTCAGCTTGTCAACAAGCAGTGGTTTGCAGATGTACTCCTGGACCACTGCCGGGCGGCTCTGCACGCTCCCGGCCAGCCTGACGTCGTTGGGGTCTTTAATGAGGTAGATTCCATCCCCCTGGCACCCACCATCAGGTTTGACAATAAAAGTGGGCTTCCAGGATGGATCGCTCTCTTTCATCATACGAACCTAGAAGGAAAATAATTAAACTGAAGGATGCTAATTAGGGGAGAAGAAGAGCTGGTGCTATGAAAGGCAGAAAATTACATACGTTAACAAAAAATAAAGTAGCAGAATCTCATCACAATAGTAGTAAACACCATGTAAAAAATATAGAAGATAAACAGAAGTGACAAGCACAAAACTAAATAAAACAGACGTGAGTAGAAAGTTACTAGCACAGATACAAGGACATTTTCTTGAATAAGCCATTGTATAAACAATTCCAGGAACAACTTCTCAATGCTATGCACCAATTTGTGGAATGAAATGCCATAGAGCTCACCAGGTCCATTTGACTAGCTATTCACATGTATGAAACTGTGAAGTTAAAATTCTGTGCTGCATTTTGAAATTATGGACAAAGGAAAGCACCTTGCTTATTGAGATATACATGCAGACAAACAGTGCAGGGAGGGAAAAAATGGAAGCAGGAATTTCACACAGGTAATATCTTTTTCTACCACTGAATATTTTTCAGTCAGATACCCAATGTTAGTAGATCTGGAGCATACTGAGCCATATACAGACAGTAAGCAAATATCATGAATTTATTAAATAAAACATACACCTAACACCTCGGTTGCTACCCACCATCACTCTCCAAAATGAAGATTTTTCTAAATTGCAGCAGAATTCCCACTAGGCCTGACATGCAACTATCAGCCTTCCTTCACTAGAAGAGAAAGAAAACCTTAAAACAATCTCAACAACTCTTACCAGTGGCTTTGATTTGTATTAAGAAAATCTGTTCTTAAATCACAACAATGCAGATGCTTTCCTTAGATGTATTCATTGTGACATCAGGAAAGAAGAAAGCTGGGGGACAATGTGACAAATCAAAACCTTTGGATGAATGTGCACAGCACTCCACATCTCAAGCCAGTGCAGATGTTCACTGCACTCAGGCATTCCCCATTCCTTTGCTGGTACAGCACGAAACAGTGCACTCTAGTGTATGAGCCTGCAAACAGCCAACACCAGCATCCACACCGGGGAAATGCACTTTAAAAGGCAAAAATGCATAGGAAAGTTAACAGTCAGAATACATTTAACCATTTAACCATCCTTCACAGAAATTGCTTCTGCTCTGCAGGTTTCTTGAAAATGGTATCAAATATTCCTTATGCTAACAAGTTCTCTGAACAGAAGCACTCCAGAAGCAGGCGATGCTCCAACTGCACACAGCCCAGCCCCACCCACCCCAACAACTGGGCATTGGTTTAAGGCACAAAGCAGCAAAGAAAAAGCAACCAGTTACCATAATCAGCAGAATGAAAGAGGGAGGAAAAAAAAAGGAACACAGGAAAAGGTGGGTGGCAGTAAGAAAACTGCGATTCTCGGGCAGAATCCTGCAGTGCCTGCCTTAGGCAAGTGACCCATGCTAGAGAATCCTGTTACTAAAGCCTTCCTGATAACTACAGTGGAAATACAAGATTGACTATTTCAACCAGGATGTCCCTTGTGAACAAGCATCACATCTCACAGAATCACAGAATGGCCAGGGTCAGAAGGGACCTCAAGGATCATGAATCTCCAACCCCCTGCCACATGCAGGGCCACCAACCTCCTCATTTAATGCTAGACCAGGCTGCCCGGGGCCCCATCCAACCTGGCCTTGAACACTTTCAGGGACGGGGCATCCACAGCCTCTCTGGGCAGCTGTTCCAGCACCCCACTCTCTCTTACATCAACAGAACAAAGATCCTCCTTCAATCGGGTCACTCCAAGGGACAAAGCACCACACTGGAGATCGGGCTTACATAAACTGCTTGTGATAAACAGGTCCAAGCAGATCTGCGGCCTTAACGTGCAAAGCAGGAAAGCAGGGTTTATCTCCTGGCCTTTTTACCACTAAGGAATAATCTTCCCATTACGTGACGCTACGCCGCACACCGAAGGATTCTTTCTAGCTCTCACTCTGCTAAAGTTAGCATACCAGAAGGGTTTGTGGCTAACCTTAAACCTCCGCAACCACACGTGCTCTTCTGTGATTCAAGCTGTACAAACAAAGAGCCAATCATATCTACTAGGGCAGAAATAACACAGAACCTCTGTGAAGGGAGCAGGGCAATCTGCCTGCTGCTCTCGCCTACCCTTCATGCCTCAGGCTATTTCTGCTCTGCAGCAGCAGCATTTCTTCAGAAAAAGATAGTGCTTTCTGAGGACTATTGTTAAAGATGGCACGGCAACCTGCTTTTGAAATTCTGCATTTTAACAATCGTTGGTTGCTGTCTGAGGTCAGAGCAAGATGTGCATTTACTACAGAGAGAGGCCAGGACACTGTAAAGTCTAAATGCCACGTGCTCCCTACACAATAGCTTCAAAGAACAAAAGACAACACGTTCCCTGTTTTGTCATCTTGTTTGATGAAGAGAACAACGCATTTTTCCCGACCAGCAAAGGCAGCACGAGAATCACATAAAAAATTTGCTAAAGAAAAGACAACATGCAATTCAATCCAGACTGACAGAGATGTAGTATACTTCAGTTTGGGGTTTGTGTTCCTTTTAAATTAAAATCCTTGTGATATGTAATGCAGTCAAGTTTCCATAAAGTACCACAAGGATACACAAAGGACAGAGTAACCCCACCGATTCAGTAAGAAACCATTCTAAAGAATGAAAGAAAAAAAGACAAGATTTGCAGAAAAGGTCTTAATCAAAGCCAGACAAGTTAATTTAATGATGGTTTCTTGTGTTATGAAAGAAGATCAATATCTCATGCTCAACTCTTTCAGTTTAAGGGCAAAGGAAATCATTTTCGGAGGTACAGGCGAGGCCCCCTGCAGCTCCAGGCTTCAGCACTGTGCACACACTCCCTGCAGCTGTTTGCCTTCCAGGCAGCTACACGGCTGTGTTTCCAGATCTGTTTCAGAAGTGTTCCAGATAGTACTGATGCCTTCTAGACCATCAAGACATGCCAGAGAGAATATGGGTGGGAACAATAATCCAGAGTCAGCCCATTTGTCAGCAGACTGACTGGCCTGAACAACACTGATGGTTTCTTGACATTCAAGAATATTCCTGAACAGTCATCTTCAAGTGCTCCTCAGCTCCCTCACCTATACTCTTTAGAAGTGACACGTGGAGGCAGCTCGTTCAGACTGAGAAAAATCAGTCATGTAATAAAATCCATTCACACGAAATATTTCTGCGTACTTAGCTGGACTTTGAAAACACGGCAGCCATTCAGAGTCACCAGCAAGAGGACAGTGAGGTGTCCAGTGGTGTGAAAACTGGATTCAGATGCGGGTTTTCCTTTCCTGAGAAAAACACTGGCTGAATGAAATAGTGTCTAAAGAAACGCATATGATGAGCTATAAGATTTGACAGCACAAAGAACAGGCTATTCATGTCTATAACTAAGAGGTACCAACAGCTGAAAACCTGATTAAGCCACCAAAAATACCCAGTGCTAGAAATTAGACCATCCAAATTAGATTCTTATTAAAAATTAATCACACTAGGCCTATTCATCATTTTTGCAGACAACAGAAAGAAGGCAATATGAGAGTAATCACAGTCCTAGTTTGAATCCCAAGCTAGTTACTTTTCTGAAATTGGAATTTCCTATTAAAAATGAATTCTTATCACATTGATTCCAATAGATTCTTCTTGAGAGTGAAGGGATGATTACTGCAGCTCCCAGGAGATGTTCTTATCTGTAAATCTTCTTCCATTACGGGGATGCATTAATAGAGAATATTTTAGAAGACATAAGTAAATACTTAAAACAGCTAAATAAATATTTGTTAACTAAAATCAACTTTTCATCCCATGTTAAAAATGCGACTGCCATCTCAGTTTAACACAAATGACAACGGGGAACTCCATTTTGTTGGTACTTCCCCATACCTGAAGCTCATCTACAGCAAAGTTAAGAGCACAGCTCTGTCCATGATTACTGGCTTCCAAAGCATGAAAGATAAACATGAGACTGGCTGTAGTGCTTCTAGCAGGAGGGAGGCACAAAAGACAGTGGAAAAATGAAAGAGTTGACAGTGCTTTCGACTGGTACTACTTCTTGTTTTACAGGACTTACATCACAGACTTGTGTTAAGCTAGACAAACTCTTACAACATAAAATATAATGTTTGATAACAAGAACTACGCTTCTCTCAAACACAGATGGAAAAACATATGCAAAGGAAACTCCTAGGAGCGTGGTGCTGGACATCTGTTATTCCTGGAACAAAAACCAAATTGTTTCCACTCCAGCAACTGTTCAACCAGAGCAGCATTTACCCGCAGTGCCACCTGCTGACAGTGCGTGTCCGCAGAGCCCACTCAGCTGAGACAGAACGACTCCCACAAGAACCCTCACTAAAACCACAGTGCCCCATTCTGAAAGTTTACTTTCGAGTTCTTTTCATTACCTACCTGCCATAGCTAAGTGGATCATTTGCACTCCTTTTACTCATTCTAAAGCAATAACACTGACGTACTATTGGGATTTTATTCACTTTTACCCTTAGTGGTGGTGCCATAGCAGTGCCCAGCACACTTGAAGAGTCAATATGTAAAGATATTTAACCACAGAAACAGCTTGATGAGATTTAAAGAAGCGATTACTCAGGAAGATATTCATATACTTAACAGCACATACTACAAATCTCTGTATTGAAGAATTTAAATCAAACAGGCAAGACAGACAAGAAACTCTTCAGTGATAATGGACCCGATGAGATATCACATTGCACACACTGCTGGGCTGGAACTTCCTCAGTCCTTTTACACTCAGTAAAATATAGAGGCAGCACATTTAATTTTCAGACAACATTTCCGCTACTGCAGAGAAGCATCATTGTTTTTAAATCCGTCCTAGAACATAAAAAATTAAAAGCAGTCATCCTGACTAAATCCAACCTCAGGGCAATCAAAAAAAGATGTCATCCTTTGCACCTGGAGAGTGATTTTAAGTAATTTGGTCAGTATGAAAAACTGAAGAATTGCACTGAGACAACACACAAGTTACACTGCTCTGAGTCAGAGCAGCTCACCTCAGTCACAAAGAGGGGAAACTCCTCGGGCAGAATCCAGGAGCGAGGATAGAAGTTATATTCTACAGGAAATAAATCTTGCATCGTTCTCACTGCCCGGCTCAGCGTAACCTTACGTACCATCTCCGTCATGCCTGGGAAAAACCACAGACAGAACTTAAACATGATGAGGGATCCACACCCAAGTCTCATCCTGAAAACAAACTATCATATCGCTGTTCACTCTATTGGCAGGCACTAAAGCCACTGCTTTCAGTAAAGCCAAAATAACTTTTAGAACTTAAATTTGACAAAACTACTTGTAGCGCTCCCCAGATGTATTACATAATGTATATGTTATTCTAGGACAGAAGAAGAAAATCAATTAGTTATCCAAAACTTGGAGCAATAGGTGGAAAGCTGTAGTCCAGTAGTAGCTACTGTCTTTGTCACAATCCAAAATTACTGCCCTGCCCTGCAAACATTCCAGGAGAGGGAACACTTTGTGTTTGCTTCACATTCATCTACGTAACTGTGTCAGAAAGAACAGGTTGGTTTGGGAGCAGAACTTGCAAAGTCTGCTTTCCTGCAGCTTCCAATCCCTTGGATGCTTGGATGACACCACATCCAGATGAGCACAAGCTCTGCTCTAAGCTTCTCCCAAGTCAGGAGCATTCAGGGTTACTCCTGGGAGTCCACTACACACCATCAAACTTCACAACTAGGTTCAGGCTACAGCTCCTTTCTCAGTAAGAGCAACAGCTGTAGGTTCTCTTCATAAGACCTCTTTAAGAAAAGAAATTTAGTAAAACCCAGCATCCAGGTACAGCAACATTCCTGGGGATCATTTCCAGTTCTGAGGGACAGTGTGCTCTACTTACCTACCACATAGAAGCCAGAATGCAGCAGGGGTAACAGTCATGTAACACTGAGATTTAAGACACCAGAAAATGATAACATCTTATATTTGAAAGTGAAATACCCAGAGACGTGAAAAAGTTGGGTAAATAGAGCATGAAGTTCAATGTCTGTGGTTTCTTACTCTCACAGCATACTAACAGCAGCAATAAATCTGAAGTAAAGGGCTTAGATAAGTCAATACCTAAGCTCTTAGTCCTTATTTAGAGAGATCTCAACAGGGATTAAAAGAGAAAAAAGGAGCTTAATAAAAGTAGAATAGTCATAATAAGCTGAGAGCTGGCATGAACTCTTCAATATTAAAAAGACATTTGGTGAGCTCTGCTTTGAGCTTCTTTCTCAGCTAGGTTTATGAAACAAAACAGATTATTTCCAATTTGGAAAAAAGAAGATACAGCACTGTTAAAGGTGTTAGGTAACATACAATAGCTGCATACCTATTTCACCTCAATAACAACCTAACGCAGTTTCCCCCATAAATTCATATGCAAAGTTTTCTTTTCATCAAAACCTCTCTTTGTCTAAAACAAATTTCAGCCCACAAACTGCTCAAGATCCACATTCTGATATTCACACCCCACCCCAAACACAATTCACCTACCAAAAATAATTTGGTAAAAGTCCTACCAGTCGGTAGGTAGGTGAGGTCCATAAAGAACAGCACACAAAGTTAATGCAGTCCTGTTGTTAACAGCACTTGTTCCAAACAGAACCAGAAATAACATACCTGGAAACTTGTTGACTTGACCTGAGAATATGTAATTATCATGAAACGATACTCCATGCCAGTAGATATCACACGGCAAGCGTCTGCCAAAGGGAAACTGGAAAACAGATGAGAGAAGTTCTGAAGCAAACTGGCAACACTCCTTCACGTCTCATTTCTCTAAACGCTCACAGTAAGCACAAACTGTCCAAGAACAGCACAAAAAACACATGTTCTGCATTTCGGCTGCAAAACAGAATATTTCATCAGATCAAGATGCTGAAGTCGAGGATGTTACACCAGGAAAGGTTTGTAAAAACTTAAGAACAGCTGTGGCACACGCTCTGAGAAATCTAGAGCTTGCTATCAAGGCACGACTCGTTTGTAATGTAAAATACTGTTATATAGGGAATAAAGTTAGTTAGAAATTCTTACTTCTGGAATGTGAAGGCACAGCAATAGCGAGCAGCTAGCACTGCGAAGTAAACAAGCTCTCATAATGCTCTTGCTTAGGTTTCTCTTCTTCCTTTCCAGTTTCAGGAGTTAATAGCAGCCATCAAAAGAAAAGAACTAGAGGTCTCAGAGGAATTGTCCTCACTGGCATTAATAAACCGACTTCTGTTCTCAAAGATGTCATGCTGTAATGCAAAGAACCCCACGGGCTGATTTTTGTTGTATATACACTGAGCCTAAGCTCAGTAGGCCCAGCCATGCGCCCTGTTCAGGGCACTGGGTCAGCAGTGCTGATGCAAGTTAATACAAGGAACAGTTGCCATGAACTTCGCAAGCAAGCCTTGGTGCCCCAGCTGCAGCACATTTAAAATGGATTCCCTAGCCAAGGCATTTAAACAAAGTAACTACACATTTACATGCTTCCTTTTATGTATGTATATTCCTTTCCGGTAGCAATAGTCAGTAACTAAAAAAAAAAAAAAGCTCACAATTCAACAAACCATTTGTCAAGCTTTCAACTACACAGAACCAAAGCAATGATTTCAACTACATTAAGGATCACTGCAGCTGAGGAGCTCCTCCCTTTCACACCAGACTTCACCACAGCTGCTAAAGCAGCAGCCCCCAAAGCCAGGGGCAGCACTGGGTCACCTCTGCTCCCACACAGAGATGCTGGACTTCTGACCATGGCACTTCCAGGACATGGAAGCTTCTGAGTGAATTACTTCCCCTGTTTGCTACTTTAATTAAAACTAAAGTTTTTATCAGTGAACACCTTTGAAAAGAATTAACCTCGCTTAGCAGCAAATTTCCTATTTCTGTCACATCACTATTTCCTTACTCCTAGGGATGAAATAGCCCATAGAGCAGACACAGAGGGTTCTTTGCTGCTTTCATTACTATTCAGCCCACAAAAACTGTTTTCGTAGAAGCGAAAATTAATTCTGTTCGGCTCTGAAAGACAATCAGTGCCCTTAACCTCTCCTCAGGTGCACCCAGAATACAGATGCAGCACGAGGTCTCACAGCCCTTCCCGCTAAAACCTGCACTATTTATTTATTTATTGAATGGAATGGAAACGAAAGGAACAAAATTTGCATTTATATAACACCTTTCATCTGCCGAGGATATCAAAGCACTTCACAAACACCGCACAGAAGTCGTTTTGCAGCAGATGAAGGGAGCACATGGCTGCGCCGGGAGGCAGAACCCGTCCAGCCCAGAATCAGTGATTCAGATAGCACAGCAGCTTCACCACTTCTGACAAATCAAGATTATTTGGATTTATCCAACGCTGGGATCTAATTCATCTCCTGAATAAGCTGGGACGGATTCTTCATCGTCTGCACTATATGTTTGCATAAGAATAGTGTTTGGAAAGGAACCCACCAGTCAGGTCAGTTGACCCACTCAGGCAGTGCTTGGCAGACAAAATTAATTGCATTTGGGTAAATTGGGTCTTCCTGCAGCAGTGTGAAGACGTGGGGTGCCCGTGGCTGCAATCTGCTCCTGCAGCCCACCCTGCCACACTGCCTGCTGCTCTCCAGCCCCACAGAGCCCTTCTGAGGTCTCCTCTACTCAGAGGCAGAGGGCATTTGTCAGGGAGGACCAACAGGAGCCCACAAAGTGAACAGAACCATTTTCACAACTTTGACACGATTCATCATCAATCATGGCCAAGCTGCCTGGCAGCTCATTTCTACCTTTGGATTAGAAGCCAATAATTTAAATTGTCCCACGGGTCACATCACTCTGTTCCATCACATTTAATGACAAGTTAGATGATTTGTCTCCTCGTCAGCCTCCCCAAGCTCCACATTTCCAAGTATTTCTCTGCCTCCATGCAGCCCAACGAAATGCCGAATGCCGTGACACCAATGCTGGCAACATCCACTTCTTCTGTTCTCCTGGTAATTTAAAGCTACTTAAAAAATAATTTATTGAGTGAAAAATAAACTCAGGATGCCCGTTAGTTCATCGGGCACATTGTGCTCGTTTGAAGAACACAACACACTGCCTCAGACAGTCCCACCCTGCACTGCCAGTGCCAGCCTCCCCAGCACGCACTGAGCATGCTGGAATGGAAGGTCCCCCGAGTGCTGCAGGATGGGGCTGTCCCAGCCAACAGTTCAGCTTCCTTAGAATTCCCCTGGCTGGAAAGCAGTTTTGTTTGGGGTTTTTGTTTCAATGCTCTCACTGCTTCTGACAGAGCATTCCCAGACTCTTTCACCTCTCCCTCACACATCAGTGTCACAGAAAAAACTCTTCACCAGTACCAGCCATATTTAAAGTGCTCCTCTCTCTTCTTTCCCTCCCGCCCCCCGCTTTTTTTTTTTTTTTTCCCCTTTTGGGCTAATGGTGATATTTGTGTTAATTTACTAACATGCCCTACTAACACGTGGACAATGCCATAAGCACAGGGAGCACCTCGCAGTAACAGCCTGTAATTGAACCAAAGCTCTGGCAAATCAAGGCACCTAAAGAAAGGAGGTGTCAGAACGTAATTTTAAAAAGCTCCCCAAAGCCTTTATGACACGGCATGACGTTATCCAGCAGACAAAAGTTATCACTATAAAGGAGTCCACCTCAAAAACATCTGCCTGTTAAAACATCTCTTGCCCAAGAAAATACTTAAGACATCATGCCTAGCAGCAAAGAGAGAAGAGAAACAAAACGAAAGCAGCAATGGGAGAAACAATGACAGGAGTGGTGTGAGAGAAGGACCATGTACACCAAGGCGAAACCCAACGTGATCAACTGGGGAAGTGTGAGAGAAGGGAACAGAGTGAAGGACCAGCCCCTAGGACATCAGCATTGCAACAGATGCATTAATATCTGCCCCTTTTTTTCACACTATTTTTACTGGTCATACAAGAAACGATGCATGTGTTCCCTCTACTGATTCTGCTGTAACAGTGAAACTATTTCCCAGGCTCTTTGCCTGTAAGTGATATTGAGTATCACATTGCTACGTTTCTAAACATTTAGAAGGAAAGAATTCAAAATATTACGCAACTTGACTCAAAGAGTTTTCCTTGGATTTCTCTTCCACAATGCAAACAGCACCAGTTACAAGACATCACTAACAGTTTTCCTTCGTTAGTCCACCTCCTGGGGCAGGCGGGTCTGAAAGATTATCTGATTTGTGAACTGATACGAGATAATACTTTCTTGACAAAAAATAATACCATCTACATACATATTGATCGCTTTTCTATGCGCAGATGAATATTTTATAGGCATATATCTCAGTGATTTGTTTGGGGAGGGTGAGTTATTGGCTGCCTCAATGGTACAGTCAATTGCACACAACAGAGAAAGTATCAAATAAAGAATTAAGACTAAGAATGGACCAGAAGAGAAGCAGCAGACTAAATGGAAAATATTGACAGAACTATCGGAGGAGAAAGGATACTGAGGAAGACAGCAAACACAAAAAGATTAAGTGATGCCAAAACTGCTGTTGTGGGATGCAGAATGGGAAGGAGAATGCTGATAACGCAGTTTAGAAAGGAAAAATAAGAATATGCAAAACAAAGTCAGTTTGGAGGGCAGGAAACCATGCACGAAAAACGCAGGAAGCAAGATGTGCAGTACAGTAAAACCTCAAGAAATGAGAAAGACAAAGTTAACTGGTAAAATAGCTCATTACCAACCAAAGCTGCAAGGACGACTTAAATCAATGCCTAAAAACTGATAAAACTTGCCCAAGAGCACAAAAACCACAAAAGAGGAGTGCCCCCCTCTGCCTCCACTGGGCAGAACGCAGCAGAGCTGCTGGCAGATGCACCAGCTGCAGGAGCAGGTGAGCTTTTGTAGCTTTTAACTCTGACCTTTGAGGTGATACAGAACGCAGTGCCTGCCCCACACCGCACGGACTAATTGCGAAAAGCACCAGGAGCACAGAACCACCTCGTGAGGCCGCAGGAGGAGCCGGGACAAGGCGGGGATGCCGAGGGCAGCGCAGCACGGCGCACAGACACGTCCCAGCCGGATTCCATCCCTGCTCCGTGCCCTCGGCCATCCGCTACCAAACGTACCCCGGGCACTTTGCCGCTCTGACGAGATCCTGGGGATGCCCCCAGAAGCAGCCTCAGTTCCTACACAACTATTCTTAAAGTCGCTGCAGAAATCATCTCTGCGCTTCAAGAACAGCCCAACGGCAGCGGCGAGACAGACCGCAGAAACTCGGCATTTGATCCGCGCTCCCAGGGCAGCGCTACCGCAGGCGCCGAGCCGCACGGCGCAGGAAGGACACGCCGCGCCGCGGTGCCGCTTTGAGGATCACAGGACGCGCCGCGGGGCGGCACACGGCGGAGCGGAGCGGAGCGCGGCCGCAGTCCGCCCGGCCCCGAGCGAAGCCCCGCGGCGCCGCGCTCACCTCCCTCCAACGCAGCTGCCGCAGGCTGATCTTCAGCGCCTCCAGCGACGTCTTGGCCTTGGAACTGTCCACGGTGACTCGGGGCCGCCGTCCCGCCCGGGCCCCCCGCTCCTCCGGCCCGCGCCGCCCCCCGCCCCGCGCCGCCCGCCCGGCTGGGCCGCGACCGCGGCTCCGTTCCGCCGCCGCCTCTTCACTCGCCTTCCGGGCGGGCTCGCCGTCCCGCGGTCGTTCGGCGGGGAGCGCCGGGGACCCCGGGGGTTCCTCCGCCTCCCGGGCCGGGGCGCAGCTCGGCGGCGGGGCCCCGGCCGGCTCCATCCCGCGCCGCCTCGGCCCGGGCCCGCCCCCCGCGCGTTGCCATGGCGGCGCCGCGGCCCGTCGGGCGGTTCCCGCGCCGCTTCCTCCCACCGGAAGTGACGTCACGAAGCCGCCGCGGCCATCTTGAAAGCGGGCAGGGGCCGCCCGCCCCTTCCGGCAGCCATTTCGGAAAGGCGTGGGGCGGGGCGGCGGCGCCATCTTGGAATGGGCGGGGCGCGAGGGGTGTCCGGGTGGTGCTGATTCCGGCGGGCGCTGCGTTTGTCACCGCGACCGCGCGCCGGGGACAGAGAGCCGCCCGCTCCCGTCAGCCGCTGAGCGGAACGCGCGGGCGCGCAGTCCGGCCCTGAAGCGCAGCGGGGCGGTCCGGCCCCGGGCTGCCGCTGTCCTGGCGCGGGCAGCAGGCGGCGCTGCGGGCGGCATTTCGCTGCCGGGCCCCGCTGTTAACCTGCGGCGGGGCTGAAGGAAGGCTGAAAAAATAGTTAATATGGGCCCAGGCATCGCCAGGCTTTGCGGCATGGGAAATCCCAAACGAAACCGGGGCATGGAGAGGTCAGCGGGGCCTCAGCAGTTCTGCCCTGCTGATTATGAGACCATGGGAAAGTAGAACGTGGAGAAAGGAACGGGACAAATGGAACATTTGTGGCTAAGCACAAGATAAGCTCGCTGTTGTTGTGAAGACTTGTTAAATCTGCCTGCATTTTAGCCAATGAATTGTTAGCGGAAAAAAATACTGTGTTAGGATGTAAAAGCAGTGCTTAGAGCAATAAAGGCGCAGTGGAGAGGCCCTTTTTTTCTCACAGGAACCCTGTGCCACTTGTCGGATTGCGACAGTTGGCTCCCAAACAGGAGCCGATAAGCAGACCGGTCTGAAGAAGGCTGAAGGAAGCCTAAGGAGGGCACTGAAAGAAGCCTCATCATCCCCACTGCTCCCATTGCGTCTTGCTGGACGAAGGTGAGCGGTTGTGCACCACAGGGAACAAAATGACCTCGGAACAGGAAAACGTCCTCCTTACTTAATCTGTCCTAAAACGACGGGGGGAGGCAATGTCCTCTGCTGACCTGCAACTGACGCTCATATGGACCGCTAGAAACCATTCCTCAGTTACAAATCAGGCAGTTTATGGTCCGGAAACTTGGGATGGGATGGGGACGAAACTGTGGGTTGTATCAGCTAAAGGTGATAAGGAGGCACCAGTGTTGCTTGAAACATGGAGAAGAATTTTTGAAGCTTTAAAAAGTCACGCGGGCTCATCGTCGGCTACCCCTGGTCCACCCAAGGGTGAAGGAGCCACAGGCTCCTCCTTGGACTCACCCACTGTGCCATCAGCTCCCTTGTTGCCACCACTATGGGGGTCCTCACCACCTCCCCTCCGGGTCCCAGCAATCCTTTTGATCCTGGACCAATGGATCCTGAAGAAGGCCAGATCTTTTTCCTCCGGATCCGCACAATATGTGGGCACTGATTCGGAGGGAGGCTAGGAAAGCTGGAGACACAGACATGTTGAGGGCCTTCCCTGTTACTGTGGCCCCAGACCAAGAGCCACGGTGGGAAGCTTTGTTGTATAACGTCCTGCAAGATTTACAGCATGCGGTCACTGACCACGGCATTGGTGCCCCGTACACTGTCAGTTTGATTCAATCCATATGAGATAGCTCTGTTCTCACACCGCATGATTTCAAAATGATGTGTCGCCTCATCATGACTGATATGCAATACACTGTGTGGGAAGCTAAGTGGAGGGCTGGCACAGATTCAGGCAACTGAGAACGTGACGCTACCGCAGAGAAACCCACTTTGGGCTGTAGATGCGAATGCTTTGATGGGTGAGGGAGATTTCTCCACCCCAGTTCAGCAGGCGCAAATTCCTGCAGAAGGACTACAGCAAGTTAAGCATTTAGCAATGCGTGCTCTCCAGGCTGTGCCAGAGGCTGGAAAGCAAAGACAGTCTTTTGTGAGCATTAAGCAACAGCCCCAAGAACCATATGTGACATTTTTGGATAGGCTTAAGAACTCATTGGAAAAACAGGTCGATAATAAAAAGGCAAGAGCTCTCATATTCCAGCGGTTAGCGATTGAAAATGCAAACTCTGACTGCCAAAAGGTGTTGCATATCCTAAAGAACCCCATTACTGAAGATATGATTAATGCATGTATGAATATTGGTACACACCAACATCAAAGTACGCTAGCAGTCCAGGCGTTTGACATTGTATCCCTTAATCAGCAGCATCTATGTTATGGCTGTAATCAATATGGGCACATTCGTAAAAATTGCCCATGGGAGAGAGCAAAAGGCAACAGGCCACAGCAACTGTGCCCCAGTTGTCAAAAGAGCAATCACAGGGCTCAAGATTGCCAGTCAAAATTCGATAGGGAGGGGCAACCCCTTATCACAGCAGGAAACTCCCGTGGGAGCGCGAGAGGGCACACGACAACAGTAAATCCCTCTCAGATGGCTGCAGCAGTCTCTATGCCCGAACAAGAGGAAGTGCCAAGGTGGACTTGGCCACCTCCTCAGACACAACCCTGAATGGCACCCCTGTTGCCTTGGCCCCCACTGAAGTCTATGGACCTCTGGGGAATGGCATGGGAGCAACTACTGATCGGTTGGTCTTCTGTTACTCAGATGGGACTTTTTATTTTGCCTGGTGTTATCGATGCAGACTATACTGGGGAAATTAAGATAATTTGTAGGCACTTTGGTTATAATACTTTAATTCTTTATAATACTCCTGTCAAAGAAAACACACAAGTTATGGTCAAAAATCTGAGCACTAACCAACGGGAAGGGCCCTACTCATTGATAACTTGGGGTCGAGGTTATGCTTGTGTTTCACCACGAACAGGTCTGAGATGGATACCAGTACGATGGGTCTGGCCAGCCATCTCGTCATCTGCTGTAACATGATCGTCGCACTCTCATCAGCAGTTTGGTTCCCAGCTCAACCAAAACAGAATCTATGGGTTAGCCTCGCTAACAAAACAGGACAAGATACACTTTGTTTGTCAACTGCATCACCAGGGAACCTGTTCTCAACACTCCTCAAATAAAAAAATAAGTTACTTACTGAGAACTACCCATCCATTTCTAACATTTATAGTTCTCACCATTATTGATGAGTATCTTCTGTCAGTTGTATTTCACAAATCAATAGCAATGTTTTATAAAATGAAATGAAGAAAACATTCTAATAAACAGGTTTCCTCTGAAAAATGTCGGTGTTATTATTATTGTGCTTCTCAAACTGGGTTAAAATTTGTTTACATCAACCTATGCTTCCCATGTTTATGTTAGACCACTGAAGATCTGTGACTGACCTACATATGCAAACAAAACATTTGTAGCATAGCTGGGGAGGGGAGATTTGCATGACAGAACATGATGAAAATACGCATAATTGTAGATGACATTTTTCATTCCCAAATCCTGCTACACAGAACTTTGGAACTGGCCATGCATGAAAGAGGCTTGCAGTTCTAATGGGCAGATTTCCTGGCTGTGCTACAAAGCCGAACCATCAAGACATGAAGCTTCTGTTTCTTGGTGAGCAACACAAATCTGCTATAATCGTCTCACCAAGCAGACCCTGTGCTTGCAGAGGACACATGTGACACTGACTGAGAAGACTGAACAACGATGCTGGACGGCCTTTCCACGTGACACTTTGGAGCTCATATCGTCTGTCAACTTCAGAGCCTTGCTGAAATATTTTGCTTATGAGTTTTCAGTTTTCTTCAGATCCCTAATATGACAGAGGGTAACACCACACAATGTCAGTCACCAGTACATTTCTCTAACTTGCCTCCATATTTATCATACAGCACCATTTTTAGGACGTGGTGCCTCCAGGCTTAACTGGTTAAACAAAGAATCAACTGTATCACCTAGTGATCACAAATGATAGAGAATCATAGAATCACCAAGGTTGGAAAAGACCTGACCTCCAAGAATTATCCAATATAAAGCAAACCAGAGGCACTGCAGATCAAAATACACTCCTGAAATATCTTTTCCTACCAAATCCTCCACCTTTATTTTAATGCTTTGCTTATATAGAAAAGTTCAGCAGATATTTTGATTGGTTACATATGTTTGAGCTAAACAGAAGCTCAAGATCAATTCATTTAAATGAAGGTTGGTTGCTTACATTGTTGGGAATAGATTTCTTTATCTCCCTTTACTTCCAGATCCTTTTTTTTTTTTACTAGGTGAGACTGCTGCTTCTGAAAACAGCAGAGGAAAAGGCTGACACGTAACCCTGTGAGCTTGCAGTGTCTTGCTAAGACATTTCATGGCCATGCAGAACACCCAATATGCCATCTCCCTTAAGTCTGTATCTTAACTTTTGATAACTGTGTTTTAAAATAGCAGGACAAGCCAACAAATTTTGCTGTGGGTAGTACTGCTTAATTTTGCTTCTTTGAGTAAAGCAACAGGCAGTGAACGTGTCTGAAATTTTAGAAATCCAAAAGCAAAACACATTTTTTTTACTTCCACTAGCAGAGCATGTTGTTCCCATCGTATTCTTCCTCTCCTACCCCCACACCAGCTCATCCTGCTCTGTAGGAGGAGAGAACAGAAGTTGCTTGTTAGTATTATGTACAGAAACAACTCCCAAACTCTAAATGATTGTTATATATAACAAAGATAAAATCCAAAGTCACTGAAATTAGTGAAAGCTCTTACTGCTTTGTTGCAAGCTCCAGATGATTCACCTGCATTCACCTTTCTGTACCATAAAGCCATCAGTAAGTCAGTTAAGTCTCTCTGGTCTTAGTTTTCTCTGCAGTAACTGCTGATCCTCCATAACTTTGTGTTGGCCACACTCTGCTTCATTCTGTCTCTTCATTTAATGTAAGCAGCACTTTTCTATATTTGGGCAAATATATATCTGCTAACAATCAGCAAGTGAATTCAGCTGCTATATCTAAATCACAAGGCTGTCCAGTGCCACATAAAGTCTGTAGGTATGAAAACACACCAGAGACATGGCTCTAAAAATTGCACCAGCACAAGCAGTAATGATGCTAATGAAATGGCATGGCAAACTCAGATCTGCTATGATAGTAAGCATGCAGAAATCTCTCAGATCATACAAGTGTGACACGGACGTGATTTCCCATGATGGAAGTTTTATCTGCCTTTACTGGGTGACTGTCTGGTTGTTCTTGCTCTGTTATTTCTTATTTATCATTTTAAATCTTTGCAGCTCTGCGGTGCAGAAATAAGTGCTTGAAAAGATTTGCAGAAGGGAGGAAAATTCTCTGGCACCACAAGCAGGCCTCCAGCAAAAACAATGGCTGCCAGATTTACACCACATTCAAATTACACTGGAGATGTTTCCATGCAGTGAATGTCAGTGCAAAGACTGAAACGTGCAAGTGTACGAGAGGAGGAGAAGGAGAGAAGCCTTGCTAGCTTGTGCCTGCAGAACAGAGCTGATAGAAACCTGTTCCCTGTAAGAACACTTGAAGCCATGAGCCAAGAAGCTGTCTCTGGTGCTTAACTCCCACAGCACTCAGGGAAACAGGGCTTTGTATGAGCGCTTTGAACATCAAAGGCACAACGAGCTCAGTACTCCATCCGATGCAAACACCCACCATGAAGTTTGGCTAACTCTTCACATCAAGAAAGGGTAATGCCAGCAGGGGTTTGTTTATACAAAATCTGTGATGATATACTGTATAACGGTTTAATTCCATGTCTTTGCCCAGTTTTATTATCCAGAAGAATGGACATAGAGCGTTTCTTACCTACAATGGAGTCAGAGAAATTTCTTTTCCCAACAAAATAAACTATAAAACTATTAGCTTCTTAAGCTGAGCAGCCTTTGAACTCAACTCTCAGACACAGATCCAAACCATTAACCTTGGAAGAGCTAAGCCCTATGAAAAGTTCATGGAAGTTAATGAACACGGAATATTAAACACCTCCAGTCAGTTGTGATATCACACAGACTGGCACTGCAAGCTTTATTAAATCACAATTGCTTTATTTTTCCCAGGATTCCTGTGAGATGTTTCTGTCCCCCTGCCTGAAGGGGGGTTTCATAACATGCAGGATACTGAAATTAAAGGACCATTCTTCTAATTTTATCCTATCTATCAGATTAAAAGACTTGAGTATCCCAAGTGAGGACCGCATGCTCCCACTGCATGGGAATGCTCCTGTGGCAACGGGAGGGCAGTGAGGAGCAGCTTTCAGCAGCTCAGCACCCGACGGGTTCATGCATGCCTCAGTTAAAATGCAGTATTGCAGAATCAATGCAGACACTCACTGTCATTAGGCTTCTTTCCCTTACTGGTTGTGCTTCACCGGCATTGGCATCAAAGGAAAGACAAGCACAGGCTGCCAGGGCGGCATCCCCTCTTTTATGGCTTAGGAGAACCAAAGTATAGAATCTTGTTGCATCAGTCCAAAGCCTTTTGCACGCAAAATCTAGGTTCTTCATTCAAGTCAAGAGGTATTTTTTTATCTAAGTTTGGATAAGGTGAGTGCTGGCAAGGTTTTAAATAGATGCTTAGCGACAGCATACAGACCACAGCACGAATCAGAACTGCACTGATGAATGTGAGGTGAGATGTGTATCCAGACCCATTTGGAGCTGTGCTGAACCACAAGCACGTGGATACTGAAGTGGAATGGCAATGTAACATTATAGCCTGTCTGGAAACAGAAAAGCTCAGTGGTGAGGCTGGCCACAGAGCTCACCAGCACAATGCTCACAGTGTCAGAAAGAGCCGCTAATACCACCAGCTACTTGAGCATGTCGACTCACGGTCAGTTAACCAATATTAATTCCTTGGCCTTTTTTCTCGCTCCCTTAATTATCAGTTTCTGGACTTGGCTCTTGTCCATCACCCTTCTGACTTAGGAGCCCTAAGAGATGCCAAGAAATTAAGTACTGTTACTCCCATGAGTTGGGGACAGGGAGCAGCGCACTGCCTTACCATGGCCAAAATGTTCTTTCTTTCTGCTGTGAAAGCCACACAGAAGTGGTGTCCAACAACGCCCACACATCCAGCTGGGTAATTATTTGTATAACAAGAAGTCAGTTGGAGCAACTGTTACACCCCAGCCCCTTGGGTTCTGCACTGTATCTCTCTCACCATTCCTGATGTGAATGAGTGTGGCCCAGGTGCTCCCATCACAGCCTTGCAGATGTCTGTGCCTGTCCCTCCACACGCTGCCAGCAGAGCGATGCTCGGTATGTCAGGCACTGCAGGGCACAGCAGAGGGGCTCTGCTCTGCCAGAGGTGGGGCTGGAAGGGACACACCATGTGCACAGCAAAGGCCAAAAATTCTGATGAGACACTGGGTCAGTCGGTGGACATCAGCTGAGCAGCAGGCTTTGGATAGGGGGCATGTGCTAATTACTGACAAAGCTAAGTCACATTAAAATGGGGTAGACATCATTGCCTTAGCCTATCACTCGTGCACAGAAGTTGCAGGGACCATTCTTAGAGCATTCTGTACCGTCTTTTTAGAATTTCTAACAAGAGAAACGGAGCGGGTGCTGCCGAAACGATGCAGCGGGACATAAACAGTCAAAACCCAGCAAACCCCGCATCACGACGAGTCTCCATCCCCAACGCCTCTCGCAGCGCAGGGCTGCAGCTCTCAGCCAAGGCGCCAGCACCGCAGCAAGGCTCGGCGTCCCGCACAGCCCCGCGCTCGCAGCACCGATCCGCGCGCCCCGCAGCGCACGGCCCGGCCGGGGCAGCTCCAGCGGGCAGAGCCGCGCTAACACGGCGCGTTTCGCGGGGCGCCGCCGAGTGCCGGGTTCCCCGAAGCCCCGCGGCTCCGGCGCGGCACGGAGCGCCCCGCAGCCCCCCGGCCGCGGCTCCCGGCGGGGCTCTGCCCGGGGCGGGCCGGGGCCGAGGCTGGCGGCCGCCCCCCGCATCACATGAGGGAACTTCGGGCCAATGGCGCGGCGGCGAGGGCCGGGGCCCCGCTCGGCTCCCGCGGACGCTCATTCAAAACGCGGCCGGGCTCGGGCGCCGCCAGCCCCGCGCCCCGGCCGCTGGGGGGCTCCGGCCGGGCGGGGGCTGCGGGGCCGGGCGCCGCCTGCGGGGATGTCCCGCACCGCCGCGGCCTGAAGGCGCCCGCCCGCCGCCGCCGCGATGCCGGTGAAGAACCGGTACAACCTGGTGGACGATGGCTGCGACTCGCGCGTCCCGCTGCACAACGAGGAGGCCTTCCAGCACGGCATCCACTTCCAGGCCAAGGTGAGCCGCGGCCCGGCCCCGCTCCCCGCCTTCCCTCGCCCGGGGCGGCGGCGGCGCGGCATCCCGGCGGCGGGCGGCGGCCCCGATCGGGCGCCGTGCGGTGCGGGCGCCCCGTCCGCCTGAGCCGCGACCCCGAAGCCCGCGCACGTCCCCCGCTCCGCTGCCACGGGAACGCGGCGATCGCCCCGCAGCTCCCCGCAGCCGGCACTGCCGGGCTCGCCGCACGCCCCAACGGCGCAGCGCCCGAGCGCAGCCACCCTGCAGCCGCGCGCCGGGCCTAGGGGTAAGCGCCAGGCAACCGCGAGAGCTTCACGCCTAACATCACAATCAAACAGGTCCTTCCTTTCTTCCTGCTAATCGTTTCTAAGGTGTCTAACGCTTCCTCGTGTGCCTCATTTGAGAACCGATCAGGACAGACCCCCGGGCAGGGACCCATCCCGGCTCCGGTGCCATCGGCAGAACCCAGCAGGCATCCGAGCTGTTTGTTCCCTGCGTGAAAAGCGTGGCCGAGAGGGCTGCACTTACACACACGGTGTGGGGGTTCAGAAATAGGGACGGCTGTCAGAAAGTTCATACCGATCATTAAAGATGTTTTGGCGTTGCACCACCACCGAGTGAGCAACTCCAGCAGAGCTGGCACTGTGCGGGCAGCGCACGCCCGATGCCCTGGCACGAAGAGCTGCATTTGCTGGAGCAGCTCTGGGGTTTGCTGCCCCTCTATGCAGGTGGCCAACACTGACTAGGAATAGAATCCGTATCTGCTGAGCTGGAAGAAGGGAAATATATTCAAATAAAAGCTTTGAAATACAGATTTTATGCATTTTGGTTTTCCTGATAAAAGGCTTAAACAGGATATAGGATGGATCCGAACAGACAGGTAATCACATACTTTAAAAGTGGCTCTACCTTAGTGGAGAAAGACAATTAATCTTCGGCTTCTTTTAATTTAAATTAACACTTGCTGTGCCACTGACCACACTGAGAAGAAAAATCCTTGTTTTGCTTCTTACAACGTGAGCAGGCTGTGTCTTTAACTGAGCGAAACGGGCGCCTTCAGGCTGACAGCTTCAGGCACCAGAGCTATTCTGAGTGCGCAGGGCTGAGACGGGCGCGCATCGCCTTAGCAACGTGCCCGCTCAGTGCTGCTCTGCCAGGGCTGCTCACCGGGCAGCTGCAGCTCTGAGCACAACAGCGGCTGGTGGACAAAAGGTGTGGGGTGTGCGGCCGTGCAGGGCTGCTGTTCATAGACAGAGTGGGTGCAGCACAGTGAGCTCTGGCTGCTCTCCCTCCCCGCTGCCCTCCAGCTCTGGCTGCTGTGGTTTGGATCTCCTGTGGTTTACCAAACGGCATGGCTGAAGTGGCTGCTCTTAAAAATGCTATTTTGCAAAAGCATCAGAAGAAACAGATGATCTTTCAGATTGCTTGTGGTGTTTGTTCCAAGGCAGATAAAAGAGCAATAAATACTGAGCCAGGAGAACTCATCTCTGAAAATCTCATCTCTGCTATGCAAAAGTTTTCAAGTGAAAAACCCATTGCAAGCCACAAACGTTACAGCAGAGAAAAGAAAACAGAACCATCAATAACAGTGGTGGTCTCCCAAGAACAGCCCCATAGCAATGTGGGCTCTGTTCATGTGTATGTTACTGCACGGAATGTTTGCAAGGCTCTTCCTCTCCAGGAGGAAGAAGGGCAGCAGCAGGATGCTGCATGCAGGGCTCCCCTAGCAATCCATGTGGCAGCACAGTACATTGGCACAGCACGAGGGAGCAGGCAGCTGGCAGCAGAAAGGTGCTGGAGACCCATGGCCACCTCCTGTCTCTATCTTTCAGCCCCAGAGCAAGGGGTGCTGCTGCCTGCATTGTGTGTCCTGACAGCTAGCTTCTGTGTGTGTGCAGCTCAGAGCTTCTTAAAAACAGACTGGGGAGGAATGACAAAGGATGCATGGTACCATTTTCAGACCCACAGAACTGTGGTTTGATCAGCAACAGATAGTGCCCTGCAGAGCACAGGCAAAGGCACAACCAGAACACAAGTGGCGTCACCCCCAGATTCAGGAGCCCTATAACACCTCCTGACTTTGGTAACATTATCCACAACAGGTATTCCTACCAAGTTCTGGGCCAAAAGACTCTAACTGAGAGGGACTCGTCAAACAACAGATGCTGTTTGTTTTGAAGAAGCATACACCATTAACTCGTGCATTGCCTTACAGACATCTCACCTTCTGTCTTCCAGTACATTGGTAGCTTGGACGTACCCAGGCCCAGCAGCCGCGTGGAGATTGTGGCAGCCATGAGAAGGATTCGGGTAAGTCCAAAAGCACTGAACCTCACCTAGAATAAAGGTTATCACTCCAGTGAGTGTATGGTTGCAGTGCACTGCTCTGCATTTCCCTCCACCTCCTCCTTCCTCTGTGCAGCTCAGATCTCAGCAGTCAGCACTGTAGTGCCTCCCTAGGGACTCCCAAGACATATCAGGACAGACCTGCCCCCTGTGCTTTGCAGATGGATCACGGGCAGCAAAGCCCAGACACAGACACCAGTCTCTGCCAAGCAGGTATGGGGATGCTCCTAGAACCTCAGATTTATTTTGCCCAATCTTTGTACAAAAATGGACTTGTACTCAATCTGCTCCACAAAAGCACGCCAATTCACTGACAGTTCTAGGTACTTTATGTTATTATATACTGAAGTATCAGTGGCCTGGCAGATGTTATGGATGTAAATCCCATTAGGCAAGACTGCGGATTCTGCTGCTTACAGAATAATTTGTTGCTTTTTCCCCATTCTCCAATGCAGTTTTGCAATTCCTGTTTCTCATCAAGTCTGCTTTCTTCCTCCTCTACTCCTTTATTCTTCAGAGCAGCCCGTGAACGGTCTCCAGATTCAGCAGTGATTAGTAGTGTGGCTACATCTGCTGCACATATAACCACTTCACATGCGTGTGCCCCAAAAGGCCGTGCAGCTGCTGTGCCTGGCTGAAGTTTTACACACGTCTTAAATCAGAGGTTGTTCATGTGTCTCACATCAGCTGAAGCAGGTCTGCGAATCTCCCATTTAAAGCTTTGAAGGGATTATCCCATTCCCTGCCCTTCCCCCCACAGTGTTTAACAATCTAATTTTCATTTAGAAAGCGCTTTTTAAATGTAGCCTGCAAGTGGCTGGGGAACCGATGCATTCACCTCTAGCCAGGCTCAGAAACCCCGTTCCCCTGCCTGTGCCTGCTCAGACTGTCAGCACAGCTCTCACTCAGAGCAGCGTGACAGCAACCTGAGCTGCCTGGTTATTTACAGAGCAGGTGAGCAACAACAGGAAGCAAAGGTGCAGACTACTGAAGCAGCGCAGATACTGATGTAAATGGCACTAAGTTTTCATCTGAAAAGTGGCTTCTTAGTATCTTTAACCCTTGCAAGAAAAAACAGACACTGTTATAATACCAGTTTCCAGAAAGTGTTACACTCTCTTTTCACACCTGCTGTTGCCTGGATGGCACAGGGTCCAGCTCAGTACCTTGGCAATGCGGTAACACACTGGGTGCTATACAAGACATGTGACAAACCACTCTGCATTCATGTGTGCCCTCAATTAATCTCATTACAAAATATTTTTAAAGCAGGCATCTTGTATTCTATACTGGATTTTTAATCTTGGAAGCCCTTTCCAAGAAGGGAGGGCTTCCCTTTTCATGTGTGCATTGTACAGCAGGATCTCATTCAGACACTTCCTGGCTGCTGAGCGGAAGATGCTCCTCTATTGAAGATACTTAATTGGCACTGATCCTTAATTAGAGCATAAAGAATGAACTGGGAGGTCTTTGAAGGGAATTCTAGTGCACAGAGTACACAACTTAGGAACGGAGGAAAGATGGGGGCTATTTATGTAGTATTCATTTGCATGCAGAGGCCTGGTCTTTACTGGAGTTTTTTCCCATGGACTCTCAGCAGCACCAGTTGTAACTGGGAGGAAACACTGGAAGAAGCTATTGGTGGAAACCAGTGTTTTGCTACCATCCTATTGTAGGTGGCAGTGCCTGTTTGCACTGCAAGAGCTAGAAGGGTGCCACAGTTCTGCCAAGCATTGGCAAGGGCATGTTCTGCTGAAGCTTTCATCCTTTGTGTGCTCCAGTGTTCATTTGGAATTCTCTATTGGAACAGAAGAGAAAAGAGGCACAGTACAAGCCCTAGCACAACATTTCCTCTGCTGCCCTATATGCCCTGTGACATGGGAGCAGGCAGAGCTGGCAGCCAGCTGGGCACAGGGCAGCCCTGGCTCCAAAAGGGAGCGGGAAGGAGGATGAGGAGTCCCAGCCCTGCATTTTTTCCAGCCTTTGACAGAGCTGGTTACTCTAGTTGCTCAATAGTAAACTAATACAGGCTCTGCAGCTGCCTTCCTCTCCTGCCTCTGACGCTGGTCTGCAGTCTGTGATTAAAGGCTCTTGCCTCAGGGAAAAACTGAGAGCTACCTAGCGCTGAGCTGTGCTGTGAGTGAGATGAGACAGAGGGTGAAAAAAGTAGCAAATGTACTTAAGAAGTGTACTCCTTGGCTGCTCCTTACCGTCCTGGGTTTTGTGCTGGGCTCTTTTTGCCAACTGCATATGAATTATGCCAGGGAGCCAAGGTGGGATTCTCTACACATCAGCAGACTTTGGGACTGGTCTTAACACATTCTGTGCTCCCACTGGAGGAAATGCAAATGCAAGAGGTGGAGCAGAGAAGTTGCTGGTCATAGCTCCCCATTATGTAGAGCTAGACAACTTCATGTTTGCAGTTCCCCCCGGTGGATTATTAGTTGCATACTGCTGCCATGTTATTATATGATCCTTTGAGCTCTAATTAATCTCTCTACCTCCTCTTGCCCTGACAGGGGAGGTGATGAAATTAGTTTGCTACTTAAATGAGTGCACTGTGCTCTGACAGGCAGATCAGGTTCCAGGTGGTGGCTGTCAGAGCCCAACTCCCTGCACAGTGCAGCCAGGTGCTCATGGCTCGTGAGCAGCACCCCGAGCAGCACCCACACCTGCTGCTGCCGGCCCATGCCACACAGGGCTGGTGTCTGGCAGCACCCACTGGGGCTCCTGCATTCAAAGCCAGGATGCCAGCACTGGCTTCCTGCTGGAGTGCATTCATCTGCAGATCTTTGAGCTTTCTCAGCACTCTAAGGAACTTATCTACAACACAAGACCTTTCTTCCTGCAGAACTCAAATGGCAGCTAATGGAAAGAACATGAAGTCCTTGAGGGCCCAGATAGCTCCATGATTCAGCAGGGTCACCCTCTCCCTGGATACTCTGCTCCTGGCTGCCTATTAGATTAGAACTAAATGGGCGAGTTCCTCCCTTAGGTGAAGGCTCTCACTGAAGTTTGGAGATTTGGAGCACTGGCAACACTGGAACAACAGTGCCAGGAAAGCTTCACTAACAATGCTTCTGGGCATGGCCTCAGGGTAGGGATGAGCTCTGTAAAACACACACAGAATCCTGCTCTGTGAGATCGTGGAAAGGATGGCTTTATGTGAAGGGTTAACACTGCAACATTTCCTGCACACTTTCCCCAGCTCCCAGCACTAACACTGACTGGAGAAGGCCAGCTGGGATCTGTCTGCAGCAGCACCAGTGAAGTGCTGCTATTTGAGCAGTCCAAAGAGCCTTCAGGAGAGGTGTCCACAGACACCAGACTGCCAGCAGTGCCCCCAGTCACTCCACTTAATTACCTCTAAGGCAGAGAGTCAGCTTCTCTGGAATTTGCACTTAGGATTTTACAAAGCCTAGAAATTTCAGGGCAGTTTGGAAGGTCTGTCTGAGACCTGAGCAGGAATTAACACTTCGAAAACAGCCAGATGTCGAGCTGCTTATTCAGTTTAATCATTTCATAAGGGAACAAGCTACTGGTACTGGGCCCATCCAAGCACCAGGATGAACAAACAGGAGGCAGGAATCTTGTTTCTTCTGTTAACTACCATATTTCTTAGGCTTAATGTAATTGAGAAGCCTACCCCTGAGTCTAGTATGCCAATGGAAACATTTATAAATCTTAGCACAGGACACATCTGAAAGGCCTGAGTTCTCCTTGGCACGAAAACCAGGTTCTCACTCCAGCCTCACCCTCATCCTAATTCTTCTTGCTGCACTCATGCTCTTAAACATAGACTCAGCATTTTGCCAATATAGCATTTTGTCAATACAGTATTCTAGTGAGAAAGTTCAGTCCAACCCACACAGTAAATCATATCAACTGGCCAAATATCAGCCACTAGCTGAAACGTGACATGACATCAGTTTATATCCAGATGAGTGGAAGTTAGAGTCCTTCAGACTCTGGTAAAGCAAAGGAGGAGGGATCTACTTCTGCTGCACCACTGCAGCTCCCAGTTCGAGGGCTTAGGTGGACTTCATTGGGCAGCTCGCAATGAGAGCCATGCAGGGCTGTGAATTGCAGTGGTTTGGGAGCAAATAGATGTGTCATTTGTCTGCTCTTGCTACAGAAATGGAGGAACCAGGCAGACAGCTGGTGGATAGGCAGGGTGACTGCCTTCAGCCACCTCAGCTTAATTTATCTCTGACTGGTGGGATTCCAGAGGTAGAGATATCTGACTGACTTGACAGTAGTATTTTAGAACACAATTCCTTCAGTTTCCCTAGGAAGACTCCCTTCTTACTGCAGAAGAGAAGTTAGCCAGGATTGCTGCTGCATAGATTTCTCTGCCTATGTGCTCTTCTTTAGTTACTGTGTTCAAAGCTGAGCTTCAAAAAAAAAAAAAGAGAAGCTGAACTCATAGTGGTCAGCTTTCTTGGTTAATCCCTGCAGCCTCTCCCACTATAATTAAATGGTTGGCTTTACTGCAGCTGAAGCACAGGCTCACATGTAAAAGTTCCCCAGTGCAGTGGTGGAATGTTTGCCCTGCTATAGACCTATGTAGCTGCTTGCCAGGATCTGTTGGTTTTGGATGGGAGTCATTCTCTGCTGCAGTTCCTGGAGGGCTTTTCTTTTCAGCCTCTTTGGAAGAGCATCCAAGTGCTCAGCTAATGACAGCCCTGGGCCGTGAAAGAAAACAATGCCAATGTCTTAAATTATTTCAGCAGTCTTCAAGCTGGCCATTAATTCTCACAATGCCATACACCCTTCTTTACATACTCCTTACAAGAGTATGCAGAAAAAATGGGTGATAGTTCTTACACTCTTAAGAGTGTAAAACACAAGCATCTCATTGTTTGCTCCAAACAGGCATCACAGCCTAAGCCAGCTAAGGACACAGCTGATGCTGTGGCTGAGGGAAGAGCTCCATACTTAGGTTGGTAGCCAAGTCCCATGCAGTAGGTGCTTCAAGAGACCTGTCAGGAGAGCAGGGCCACCTCAGTTCACACAAGGCCTTTACATAAATATTGTCATCACACAGAGATATTCACTGATGAACTGTACTGTAGAAGATGGTGCCATGCTCTGACCATGGGTCCAATCAACACATTGACAAATGTAAAGGCAGGCATCTGGCCTTACAGAAAGATGAGAAGAGTACTTCAGATAGGCTTCCCTTAAGCCCATGCACTTCTCTTCCTCCTCCTCCCCATAAAAAAAAAAAAAAAAAAGGACAGCATACTCTACACCAAAGTATGCTCCAAGAGATCTTTTGCTAGAATACCTTTCCCTTCTTTAGAGAACCCTGCAAGGACTGCATCCAAAGCAGATGAAGCCCATAGCCTTCAGAGAAGGAGAGCAGCAGTTTTAGGTGTCCTAGCTGAACAGATGCGACTCGTACAAACCTGCTCTCATTACTTTTGCACAAAGCCTGGCGTGAGTTTTGGCAGTTCTCCAAAGCAGAGGCAGGATGTGATCAGGCTATAGCCAGTCCTCACCAGAGGCTGCAAGTCTACACCAAAAACTTAGCTGGAGAAATAACACCAGAGACTTCATTCAGAAAGAGATTTACAGGAGACCACAGACAGCTTTTGTCCTCTGCCTACTCTCTGTATCTTCATGAACCTCTGTCTCTCTATGCAACAGCCCACACAGCTTTGTCTGTACCACTACCTGATACCTGCTCTACTTAAATGGCATAGAAAGCAGATGGCATAGCACACAGCACCTTCCCATACACCCAGTGCCCAGCACAGGGCTGTGCCCATTACCTACCTCAGCCCCAGGGCTCCTCCAGGTACTCCCAGGATTCCTTCCCAGAAGTCATCAGAGGCAGTTTAAGGTTTCTATCACACAAGATTAAGCTAATTGGTTTTACCTTTCTAGGCCCTGGCAAAATAGAGCAAGTGTTTTCAGGGTGGTAATTAAGCATTAATTGCAGCTGAGTTTAACCCTAATGCTTCATTAGTTTGTTTTCCTCTATTTGGTGCAGCTTGAGCAGAGCCTGGAGCATAGAGTGGGCTCTGAGGGAGCCCCAGGGAACGCAGGGGCTTTCATGGCTGCCCAGCCTCACCAGCAGGGCAGCAGAGGCCCAGCAGTGTCATGAGGGTCTGTGGAGCTCAGCATCTCTCTGTGTAGTCTCCAGCCCATGATCACCTTGACAGACTCAAGCACATCTCATATATATGCCGCTTTACTAGCTGTATGGAACATCTAATTTTCATAAGCTGAAGCACTGGCTTTAAAAATGTAGCAGCTGCTTTCCTGGAGGAATTCAGTCTGCCACATCATGGCCTAGCCTGAGCTTGTTCTGATTTCTGCTGCTTGCACTGCCACAGCACAAAGGGAAGAAGCTCCTGCTGAGCTGCTTTTGCCATGGCAGCACGCACACTGTTCCTAAGCAGCGCGGTGGTGGCTGTGCTCCACTTGTGAGAGGAGAGGAACGAACTCCTTTTGGAGAGAGCTCAGCTCCTGCTTGTCTGCAACCCACCCCGTCTCTGGCCTTCTTGCCACAGGACAGCAATTAGTTGTTTTCTGCCATTGCTGAGCTGTTGGACAGGGTTAGCTGTGACTGTGCTGATGGAATGGAGGACATCTCAGAGCTCTTTCTCTGGCCTTGCATCATGACCCGGTTTTCCAGCAGGGACTGATGGTTGTCACTGCTTCAGCTCCCATACTCTGCTCAGAGAGCACACCAATATGACTGATATGGGTGGGGGGATCAGTCAGTGAAATGTGCCATCTCCAGGCAAGTCACCTCTGAGTGCCTTTTTGAGAGTGCAGAAACTTGGATGGCTCCTTCCTCCATGAGGGGTGGGACGAGCGAGGCACATTCATGTTGTTTTGCATACGAGTCATGATGGGTTGGTGCTTAGTTGAAGGCTAATGAAATCAGCAGTTAGAGAAAAGCTAAATTAAAATGTTAGCACTAAACAGAACAAGACTGTCTGATGCTAGATCTTGGCATTGAGGCAGGTATCTTTTAAGTGTAAAATAAAGTGGCTCTATTATCGTTATTTCACAAAAGCTTTTGAATTCACCAGCAAAAATATCAGCATATGAGATCTCTGCAAAGCCTTTATCTGGCTTGAAATAAAGTCGCTTTTTCAGCAACTGTATTACTGGTTGTAGAGTGTTACAGAGATGAAATGTAATGGCTTTCAAATTACATTCTGGTGTAGTGCAGTCAGCATTAGCTCAAAGCTCCTTCGTTATTGGTGTCTGAAAAATTGTAATTGAGATGGCAACCAGAGAGGTAGCAAGCAGATTGGATTAGCTTGTTAATGAGGAGGAGCCCTGATCTGAGTGACAGCTGTGCGGGCAAGGGCACACAGACTGGGGCTGAGCATGGCATGGAGTGCCTCCATGGTGCTGGGAGGGCAGGGAGGCTCTACTCATGCATTTATGGGTGTATATTGTCAGCCTTTCTGGTTCTAAGGTTGAGTGTCTGTGGGAGAGAATGGCTGTACCTAATGCCACAAGGATGGGTGCACTTATAGATGCTCATTTATAGATGCTGTCCTGATTCTTGTCTAGTGTAAAAGCACCCTGTACTGTATGGATCTCTGTCCTGAGGCACCATGCAAAGCAAAACTAAGCCTAGCAGAATAAGATTTGCTAACAAGAGCTTGATTGGTTATGTGTTTGTTTCCTTCATTCTGCTTTAGCTCTATGCTAAATGCATCCTGAAGGCAAACAGAATCTGTGCTGCTTAACACAATACTGTGACAAGCTACTTCATGTTTTCACCAAATAACTGAATGAGAGATCTATAGAATAAAAATCTCGAATGAATCCCTGGGGGGTGGGATACTTTGATGAGGGAGCAGGAAGACATTCTCTAAATGGTGTTTCCATGGGCCAGATGGGTTATTTAGACTAACTGGCAACTGCCAGACAGTTTTCAGGACACCTGAATCACTTCCCCCTTCCTCCAGCCTTCTGTCACTGCTAAATCCTTTAAGGGCTTTCACACAGCCATTCCTGAGGGATCAGAGAGACTCCATAAACACACCTGCCCTCTCCCGTGCAGTGAGCAGGAAACATGGCATCGGGGCATTTGCTTTGAATAGGGCAGCTCTGTCCTGTACCTGCTGCAGAACACAAAGCACTGAGGTTCAGAGACCCCAGGGCACCATGGCTGCTTTGGTCCTGCTGCAGCTTCCTGCAGTTAATGATTATGAGGCCTAAACCTCCAGACCTGAAACATTGGATTCTTTCCACGTTTTTGCCTGAGGTAATGCTGATCTCCTGTTCTTCTGCTTCCCTGTGTTCAAGCCCAGGGCAGGTGAAGCTGGGAGCAGGGAATGCTGCCAGGTCCAGCCTCTTCCATGTGCTGCCCTAAGCGCTGCCTACTTTGCCCAAGTGCAGCAGAAACTATCTGAACTAGTGCTGTGTTTCTCATCGTGATTCACTAACCTCATTAGCTCCCTTGAGGCTAAAAGAGTCCTTGAGCAGCTTAATATTCTTGAGTTTGGGAAATGACACAATTAGCATTGAATTTTTCCTCTCATCTAGTAAGAGTCTTGTTTCCAAATGGAAGAATATGATTTTGTGGACATATTAAGAAATCAGAGATCTTCTCTTCCCAGAGAAGGTTCACTACAGTCTGTTGGCAATTTTAAATCCTTCTCAAGTCAACTGGAATGGCGTGCTCCAGAAAATCCCTGACAACCCACATCTCGGCAGCAGCCCTGGCTGTGGTTTTTCTAAGGAGGCAGGCTGCTCAGCTGGGAGCACTGCTCGCTGCCTTTGCAAACAGACCTTGCAGGCATGGCCTCTGTGGCCCTGCAGCAGCTGGCAGCCTCCAAGCTCAATGGGCTGTTCTGGGTGGAGCTGCTGCACTGCTGGTGCTCACAGATGCAGACTTGTGCAGTGCTTGGAGGCTCGCAGCTCTGGGCTTTCTGTGAGAAGTGTTTCCTCAAGTGGAACTGTTGGAGATTGATAGTATTAACAGCCACACAGGAAAGGCTCCTTGTGTGGGAATAAAGCAGATTATTTCAGTCCCTGACTCTCAGACCAGGACATGGCAAGGCTGTTCATGAAAGTAGCTGGCATTGAGAAATGGAACAGTTCATCTGCACCCGGGCTTAAGCTAGCAAAGGGCTTTTTGCAGTGAAAGAGAACGAAGCCTGATTGCACCTAGCAAATGAGGCATGAAACCTGGTCTGCACCAAGCAGCACATTAAGCAGCTCAGCATCCCTCACATTCTAATTCTGGTCTAGTTTGTAATCAAGTGCTTTTTCTGAACGCAAATGGAGGTCAGGTCCTCATTCTAGCTTGAATTCTCCTTGCTCAAAGCTAGAGATGCCAAGTCCAGCTTCCTACATCTGCTGCAGATATGCAAAGAAAATGCTAATTCCTCTAGCAGTGGGCTAGCAGAAACCACGAGACAGGGCAGGATGACAGCACCCAAAATGCACATAGTGCATGATAGCACATTAGAAGCAGGAGATGGTCCCTCCCTGCAGTATTTGCCAAAAGAGGGTGTTGGCCAAGCAGATGTAGCTTCTCCAGATTTTCTCAACAGTAAATTAGGTTCCTCCTCCTCCCTTGGATAAGAATATGCCAGACAGACACAAGCAGCATGTCATCTCTCCCCAGCATGCAGAAGTCATAGAGGCTGTAAGGATGGCTACCTGGCCCTTCTGGGAGCAAGGGGCTGACTTACTAATCACTTGGAGCACACAGGCCTTCTGTTCTCTGCCTTCCCTATGTGACACCTGCCTTGCATTGAGCCTCAGGAGCATGGACGCTTCCTCTCCATTATAGCTCACAGTGCAGCTCTCTCAGCCCATCCCCTCCAGCTGCCTTTGCCTGGGCAGAATTCAGTCTCTAAATTGCCTCTTGTCCTGTGCACCAGATTAGAGAGCAACTAGGATAGGAAACAGTGCATGTAAGAGAACAGGAGGCCTTTTTTGCCAGGGTCTCAACATTGTTGTTGATAAGGAAATACAGAATTACTTGAAGGTGTCTCAGTGTATAATTGCAATTTCACTTCTAAGGGTTATTTCAGGTGAACATGACCTGCTTCTGATGAAATTAGCACTTTTTGTCTGTAGTAGCTCAGCAGCTTTGGGATAAGAGCCATGTTCATGTACACTCAGTGCTTGGTACATGAGAGTCCTTGGGGGTAGAGTCCTAAGACACTACTTCATTACTGAAACTAATTAATCACTCAAGCTTAAGACAGGGAAGAGCTGATGCTCTGATCAGCTGCTGAAGGACAGCATGGCACAGTAACAGAAACATTTGTGCACTGCAGGCACCAGGGGCTCACACCAGGGTACAGGTGTATTGCAGGGCTGTTGTGGCATTCACCAATGCAAATCACTGCCAGCAGATGAGTCTGACTGTCACACAGCTCTCCCTCCAGCTGCCAGCCCCTTTGCAGATGGGTAGCGCTGCAGACAGAAAAGGTAATTTGTTTTCTCCCACAAATGAATAGAGGTAGGGAGGGACACAGCCTCTCTATGAACTGGGACTGGCAAGACAAGGGCAGAATAGCTGTGTGTGGGAAAGCTCCCTATTAAACCTGGGGACAGCAGGAGGCTCCTGGAAGTGACAGTCACACAATGGTGCTTTTGTCAGAGAGGCACCAAAGGCCAGATGATGTCACCTTGCACTGGGCTGTGTGGCTGCTTGTGTGCCTCAGGATGGGGCTCAGCACATCGCATCTCTGACAGGGAGGAAGCAATGAAAAGGCTGCTTTTATCCCGCCATTCTTCTAAGAAGCAGGCAAAGAAGCTTTGTTCCAGAACAGCGTGGCTGTTTTCAGAGGTGGAAAACCCCAGTGAGAGCCATTGCCTGTACCCCACCAGCTCCCATCCTCTGCAGCAGCTCTGCTCTCAGTCCTGGGTGCATTGATCCACATCCATTGGACTTTCTTAGAGGAACAGCTGAACTCTGGCCATGCTCTTTGCTTTTGCTGTACATGGAAAGATCATGCTATCATCAAATGACTCCTGGAACTCCAACACTTGGAGATGTCTTAGGGATACAATTTATCCCCGAGAAAGCAAAGGTAGCATGGATAAAAGGCAGCCCTTCTCTCTGCCTCCCCCATAGCAGCACGGGACAGGGTCCTTGCTGCTCTGACAATTACTGGGTGGGCGGTGGGGTCTGCAGCCTCACAGATGACCACAGGTTTGCACATGCTGTGCAGTGGGAATGTATAATGCTCACCATGAGCAGGTGCTGGAAACTCCCAATTTCAGCTCTCTGCTCTGCCTTGACTTGCCAGGTGAACTCCTGATGAATCATCCTGCCTCAGTTTCCCATGCTGCGACTCCAGGTAACATCTGCCCCGTCCTAGGGAGAAGCTATGGCTCAGAATTTATGTCTGGAAAAAGATGTGAGGAAAGGAAAGCTTTGTTCAAGGGAAAGCCTTCAAATTAGTCAACTTCCAGTGCTGCTGGTTTTGAATATTTATGAAAGCAGAAAATTGTCAGAGCATTTTGCTAAGCCATACAGCTCCTTTCCTGAAAATAAGTATTTCCAAACAGTGCTTGTTTACCTCAATTTCTCCATGGACCCTCACTCCACCAGGGTGAGGGACAGAATCCTGGGATGATGGCATCTGTGAGGGGATGCAGAGGCTGTACAAGCTGCCCGAGCTGAAGCAATGACACAGCACTTCCTTTGCCTGAAAGCTGTTGTTGGGAAAGAGCATCCAGAAAGCCTGATCCCACAGACTGCTTCTCTGCAGCTTCCAAAACATTGGCAGAAGGGTGGCATGTGGTACAGCACCCTAGAGATGGTTTATTGCTAGACCCCAAGCACTCTTGTGTTTTCACGCACATGAACAACCTCAGAGATTGTCTCCTAAGCCAAAATAGGAGTTAGCACAAGGGAGCCAGGCCAGGCATGCCCAGCATTCCTGGTGGTGCTTCTTCCAGAAACCTTGGTCCCCTAAGAAGTATCATGAAAAGAGACAGAAAATGCCTAAATCCCCGCAGAGAGCTGAAACATAGCCAAAGCCAGAATTAAGAGCATTCAGGCCAAGTTCACATACCCTTTCCCAAATACAGGCAACTTTCAAGAGGTACTTTAGGAGCTGCATTTACAAACTAAGCCAGGAACCAACTACACACAGCTGCAGTGCCCTGCTGCTGGCCTATAGCTTTGGATGCACATGGCTGCAGAGAGCTGCAACATAAACCCACCCATATAGCACTGACAGTGCCAAACTGGAAACTCCACAAATGCAAATACTTTGCTAGCTTAAGTAGGGTTTTTGCAATTTCATCCCTCACCCCTTCCCAATCTGCAGCATATTTCAGCCTGCTGAAGCCACACTGGGAAGTCAGGATCAGCAGGTCCATAGCCAGGCCTGGCCACAGCTCACCTGGAGACCAACATACCCACGCTGGAGCTCCGGAGAAAGCTAAAGGCCCAGAGCTGAGCTTAAATGGATCCCACATACCCTGTGTATGGGTGTGAATAGAAGCTCCAGGTGGGGCTGGTCAGGACCATTAAGGCCTGCTATTGCCCTCAGGATCCTGGTACTGGTGTGTGTTGTCCAGGTGGAAACAAGAAGTCTAATGGCCAATGAGGTGACCTGTAGTCAGGGCAGAAAGCTGCAGAGCAGTTGTTAGCTTCCTTAACTTCTCCAGATTAATGTAAACCTGTGCCTGTGGACACTTGTGTCACTGTGAAGTTGACAAAGTGAGAAGAGCCGGAGATGTATCACTGCTCGCCAAGAGCCCCAGCAATGAGTGGGTGTGGGGAGGGGCTGAGGAGGGCTGGCCTCCAGCTAGATCCAAGTGCTGGAGCCCATCATCCTGGAGTCCATCCCCTGCCCCTCTAAAAATGTGCCTGTATCTCTGCTCCCAGCTCCCATCTTGGCCACTGCCTGCCTGCTGGGCTAAGCCAGGGCCACGAAAAGCTTTCACATACCTCGGATGAGGTGTACCGAGGAAACATTGAGTCATAGACTGGCTTTTCCTATAAATCATCCTTTCATCATAGATATTTGACAAGTTGTCTCCAGCTCCTGCACCTAAGCAGAACTGCCAGGCAGGGCGCAGTGGCTCCAGGCAGCGTGTAGCAGCCACATGGATCAGTCACGCAGGGCTGGCCCAAGCCACAGGGTTCTCCTTGCCAGCACTGATCAAAGCACAAGTCTGCAGCCCAGCCCGTGGTCAGGGATGTCAGCACTGCTACCGCGCTCCCTGCCTGGCCCCAGGTCACACCAGGGACGGCCTGCAGTGCCTGCAGAGTGCAGGCTGGGGGGAAAGAGCTCATTTAAATGAGAAAAAAAGGACTTTGGGTACTTTGCCAGCATTCTCCTTGCCTATTGTACTCCCTGCTCGGTTTCTGCTTTCCCCTGGGCAGTTTTATGTTTCCAAGGACCATAAATTCTTATTTTTCCAGTGGGCAGGAGGTGCGCTCTGGGCCGCGCCGCTTCCTGCCGGGCTTTGTGTGCGTGTTGCCCAGCTACTGTGCACAGCCCCAGACTATGCCCAGCCCCATTCAGACCGGCCATGGCCCCGTGGCCCCACGGAGGATTGCAGTGGTGCTGGCTTTCCAGGAGGAGCAAAGAGAAGGGCAGGAGACAGTGGCTTCCAGACAGAGGCTGCGGGGCTCAGGGTGACCTGTGTGGGTGTCCTCCTGGCAGAGGTGTGCAGCAGGGTATGCAGAGCCTCTCTGGTGGGACTTAAGGCTGAGCTGCAGCCAGTGGCACAAAGGGTATGGGAACTGACAGGGCTCATTTGTCAGATCCAAAGCACCAGTAATCTGCATTTGCTGAGAGGAAAGCGCATGGGGTGGTGGTGGCTTCATTCCCAAGCAGCAGCCCTCCAAGCATCAATAATTCAAACAGAAGTTGAGATAACACCCTGTCCCCATGCCATTTGGGCCAGTTTGATTTGATAGTAATAACATTCCTGAACCTGAAATACTTGGGTTTACCATGGGATGAATTCCTAGCATGGCACTCAGTCAGCATCAGGCTGCAGTGGGATGGGGAGAGGCCTCTTGGCATGGTGGGGTCGGGGTCCTGGTCCAACCAAGGTCCTGCTGCAGTGGCAGGGATCCCACAGAGCCTCCTGCAGGGGAGCAGAGCTGAGCAGAGGTTCCTGTGCCCATAGTGCCAGGGCTGCGTGTCACTGGGAGCAGGGCAGGACAGCAGCCTGGGCTGGCTGAGGAATGTACAGCTGCAGGAAGAAACAGGCCATTACCAGACCTGTGACATCGTCCTTTGATTGCACAAAGTACTTCCAGCAGGGATTCTCCTGCTCCAGAAGCACGGCGAGCCTCTGCCCCGGGTTCCGGGAGGGTCCTGGTTCCTGCAGCTCCCTCAGGGCTGTTCCTTCTGTCAGTGTTCATGGGGAAGGTGCACTTCATGGACAAAGTCTGCCTCCAGGACCTGCAAACTCTGCTCTATGACAGTTTTCACTTGCACAACGAAGGCCCTGATACCTTCAGTAATTAATCACAGTAAGAATTGCTTCTGTGAATAACTATTCACACGAGTTGTTCATGCTGGAAACTGCGCATGATTTCAAATGTGCATTAGCCCATCTCTTTCATCAGCAGATGGAAGCTGGTAACTGCATGTGTAATTTATCTCTGCTTGGGTGGAATTATCAGATGAAATATGCATTGCACAGTGCCATTAACATTTCCAGTCATACAGTCTGTAGCTCTTGGGTGAGTTAATATTACATGCCAGCAGTGTGTGGGACCATATGAAAGGCATTGAACACAGGGATTTACAAGCAAAAATAGAAAGTATTCCAGGTCAGATGCATCAGAAATAGAATTAATGAAGTGCTAAATTAAATGAGATCCAGTGCCCTTTTTTGACCTGCATTTTTTTATAAAATGTCCCCTCTTGTCTCCATAGCTAATAAAACTGCCAGGTTTGCCCACTGATTCTCCACTTATAGCAGCAGCTCCAGATTCCTTAACATCTAGAGAGGTTTTTCTCATAGGACTACAGAAGCAGCAAGAGAATATCTATTGAAACTCAGAAAGCAGCAGAGATGAACACTGATGTGTTTGCAAATTTGGAAAAAAAAAAAGTCAAAGCAATTCAAAGGTAGGAAATACATGCAGTGAACAGACCTTGCTCTGTGGCAGCAGTGTAAGGTGAGCTGGGAGCTGCATGCTCACCTGGGACCGCTTTCGTAGGAGACACTGCGCTGTCCTGGCATTGCTTTTTTTCATTGGTATTTTTGTCCAATAAATCACGTTTTATTAAAATACTGACACCTGTTTGAAAGGCAGCTGTTAGATGACTGAAGCTGCATCCCGTCTGTTTGCTACATGCAGAGATGGTGAGGGTTTGGCAGCCAGCAGTGCCCTCTGGGGCCGCCCTGCAGTCAGGCTGTGCTGTGGTACCTCCTGGAGGTTCCTCCGCGCTCCTGGCAGCCTGGCCGTGCACTGCTGCTCCCGGCTGTTGGCTTTCTGTCCAACATCGAAAGAAAAAATATCTCTGCAAAACCCAGGCTTGGACTTTGCTTAAAGCCTCTGAGTAAAGAGCCTTGTTTGAATGTAATTGCACCCCTGTTGCTACAAGGGGAAAATACACTGTATTGCTCTCTCTTTCTTGGAAAGCTCGGCTAGTATTTTCCCAGCCATTTGTGTACAAAGAAAGATAAATAGCTCTTTAGCGGGCAGAACAATCTCTCTGGGTTTTATTGACATTCGTGCCAGCAGCTGAGGAGCAGCGGCCTGGCAGAGCTGAGCGCGGGCTGGTGAAGCTGCGTGGGGGGAGCAGCTGGGGGTACAGCGAGGGGTTGAGGAGCCCAGTGCTGCTGCAGGACTGATGCGGGCTGCCTGAGCACCATGCTGCATGCTTGCTTGTCACCTCCTCACCCATCGCTGTCACTCCTCCCTATAAATAAAATACGTGTATGGCAAATTTAGCTCCAGCTTCACGCACAGTGGGACTGTAGATAGATTTTTAAAGAGCTTGACTCCAAGTAATAATTCATGGGGGGATCAAAAGGTTGTGTCTGTCTAATACCACCAGAAGCCTGATGCACATGAATAGCCATCCCATTTTCTGCCTGCAAGGCCAGTGTAGCTCACAATGGGTGCTGGGGAGTTGGAGAGCCATGTTCTGCTCTGCAGCTCCTGGGTAATGCACCCACAGCACCGCACTCTGTCCTTCAGCACCGGGCTCCCAGAGGAGCTGTGTGGGCTCCCCTGCTGTCTCAATCACTGCCTGTGGCTCCTCCGACTCTATCAAGAGATAAGGTTGCTAATTAGGTGCCTAATTACACAGTGTAGGTGAGCTTCAGTCTGCACTCTGCCTCTCGGACTGGGATCACATGTGCTGTAGCTGCACTGTCAGGTCTGTGTGCTGGTGTGGGTGAACTGAGGATCTGGCCCAGGAAAGCTGGATTTCAGATAGGGACAGCAAAAAACTTGGGGTGTCAAAATGCTGTTTGGAAACTGAAAATTGTGCCTGAAGTGGGGCCAGCAGAGATCAGTACAGTAAATACAGATCTTTAGAGTAGAGGGGCTCTGCCATTCTTCTTTGTTATCATCAGAAGCAGCATTTAAAAGCAATGAGTTTCATTTTCAACACAAATGGAGGTGAGTTCGGCCTGCAGACACCTGCAGATAAGGAGCTGGGTTTTTCTCTAGAGATACTGAGCACACCGAGGTTAATGTAATTATGTCCACGACAGATATAATTGCATTACTGCCACCCATCTGGCCCTCCCTGCAATTCAGAAGTGATTCGCCATGCACTGCAGCACTGAAATACAAGGGCACCATAAATCACTGCATGACGTGTGCTGCCAGGGCCACCTCCCCAGCCAGACACTGCTGCATGTTCCCACCGCACTGTGCAAGGTGCTTCAGTGCCAGCATGCCAGGAAATTCCTCCAGGGTCTGAACTAACAGTCCCCAGCCATTTCCTGCACAGTTACCTGGGATGGTGGTTCTGCTGCAGCACCAGCATCCAAAGCCCCTCACTGTCACCCTGCTATTAAACACAAGAATATTTCCAGGTAGAGCACTGACAATGCCACAGTTTCAGCTACCCTCCCAGTCTCACCTCTCTTCTAACCTGTGCTTGTCGTCCCATCAGTACGAATTCAAAGCCAAGAACATTAAGAAGAAGAAGGTGAGCATCATTGTGTCTGTGGATGGCGTGAAGGTGATCCTGCGCAAGAAGCAGAAGGTGAGGCTCCTCCTGCCCAGCCAGGCCCAGAGCACCCATGGCATTGGCTTTGGCCGTGTCTGAGTAGCATCACTGCTCAGAACAGTCAGACTGCTAACCAAAACCAACCTTTTTTTAACAAACGCCCAGAATTTTCAACAGAAAAAGCCTCGATTTTTCACACACACACACACACATAAAAAATGATAGCAAAATCTCGCTGAAGAAAGGTGGGGAAATTACACTGTGGGAGGATGATTTCTACCAAAAAATGTAAGGCTTTCAGGAAATGCAGTTTCTTTTTCTCGTTAACTAGCAGGCTTTCTCAGCTGTGCAGCCCCACGCCTGCTCACACTGTGCAGAGCCCACAGCTGCCCCCGCTCCCCAAGCTCTCACTCAGAGCCTTGCCTCACAAAACGAGTTAATTCTCTGCATATTTGATGCTATAAATTAATCTTTAGGACAGCTTTCAGCCCTGGAGGCTATGATCAGATGACCAGATATGATAAATGATCAAAGATGTCTATTTTCATCCAAGATACCGACTGAACAGCCACTGCTAATGCAGTCGGGCTGTAGCCCTGCCCTTGGCTGGGGACACGTGCCTTTTTCCATGGTTCCTGCCCATAGGAGTGGTGAAGTTTGGGTCTCTGTGATCTGCAGTAATTGTGTTTCTTCTATGCGCTTGCAGCGAAAGGAGTGGACGTGGGATGAGAGCAAGATGGTGGTGATGCATGATCCCGTGTACAGGTATGTGCCAGGGCTTTGCACACCCAGATCTGGATCACCCATCTGGATCAGATGCTTTGAACCAGATGTATCCTGCTTACTTTCTAAACCCCATGAAAAAATGTTTGAGGTCACAAAATTACTGATGGTGGGAATCTTTTCCATACATTTCTCCCGGCAAAGAGACTGCCTGAGCTGGCTTTGAAGCTGGCTCTGTGTCAAGCAGAGGTCATAGTGACGTCCAGAGGTACCTTCTACCCAAACTGCTCTCTGATTTGAACACAGAGGACACACCAGCTTCCTTGGTCTGCCTGTAACGCGTGGCTCGATGGATGCTGTGAGCCTCTAAAGAAGGGCCTGATGCTAAGGCATGACTTCCAAAGGGAATAGCTTGTACAGGATGCAGTAGGATAGCACTGACTTTCCATAGCACCTGCTATGGGATCTCTGGGTATTTTGGAGATGAGAAGCTTCATCCAGAGGCATTCTCTGCCCTTCTGTTTGGAGGCAGTGGTAGGCAAACCAGCAGGACTCTGTCCTGAGTCTTAGCAAGCAGAGGAGCCCATGAATTCTATCACTTCTTACACATGTTTAACTCCTCCTGTCCCTCCCCCAGAATCTTCTATGTGTCTCACGACTCGCAAGACCTGAAAATATTCAGTTACATCGCAAGGGACGGCGCCAACAACTCCTTCAGGTGCAACGTCTTCAAATCCAAGAAGAAGGTGGGATGCTCCACGCTCATGCCCAGACCCTGGGGTGGGCACCAGGAGGTGATGGGGCTGCCCTGGGACCCCAGCGCAGGGCTGACTGGTGTGTATGCTCTGCAGAGCCAGGCCATGCGTGTGGTGCGCACAGTGGGCCAGGCCTTTGAGGTGTGCCACAAGCTGAGCCTGCAGCACGCCCTGCAGAATGCTGACGGCCAGGCAGATGGTGCCAGCGACAAGTCGGCGGAGGAGCAGCCCTCTGAAGGTGACATTCTGTGGGTTCTGGGCAGTGGTGGCAGCAGAGGTGCATCGGGGTGAGGGAGGCTGCAGTGATGTGTCCTCATGGGACAGCTGCAGCAATGGCGAGATCTTCATGTCCCGTTGGTCTGGGGGCATGGCTGATCCGGCACCTTCCCAACCTGAGCCCCATAGAGGTGGAGGCTAAAGCAAGCCTTGGCCAATCTCCCCAGGCTGTCATGTCAGCCCTGCTCTGAGCCCTGGCTAGCAGCCATGGTCCTACAGTGGGGGGCCTTTGGCTCATTTTTCCATTTCATTTTAAGTGCACCAGATAAAAGGCTCCAAGATCACAGATGTGGACGAGGTTGGCCTTGACTCTGATGGCATCTGTGTATCCGAGAGGGGAGCAGGAGATCTGCCCGTTGCCAGGGGCGAGCTGAGCACACTGAAACCTGGACAAGGCTCCAAGGACAAGAACTGCCAGGTAAGGGCCAGGTGGGGGGGGGTCACTATTGCTGTCCCTTTACTCACCGCTATAGGGAGAACCCCCGATTTCCTGGTGCCCTGCTCTGGCTGCCCCCAACCCCACAGCAGCACCACTTGACCAGAACCCTGCTCCATGCCACACAGCTGGCTGGACAGCAACATCCAGGTAACAGGCAGAATGGAAGCGGTGTTCCTGCTGAGGGGCATTTTCATGCTGTGCAGGCAGGTGTCTAGTCTAGTCTGCAGCAGTTGCTTGGCCGTGCTCCAGTAGCAGCCGCAGCTCACTGCTTCCCCCCACCAGCAACATCCCTCAAGGCAGCCCCTGCTGCAAAGGGGCTGAGGGTGTGCTTTTTGCTGGCTGTGGACATGCCATAATGAATAGTTCTGAATAGTTGCTCTGCAGAGCTGTTTGAGGGAGTGTTTCCTGGCTGCCTTAATGGCATTATTTCATTTTACACAATTGTATCACTTGCATGGCCTGGCTGCAAGCAGCTGCGATGAAATGCATTCAGTTGGATTTATTTCCTTGGCTCAGGAGGCAGGGTTTCACTGTGCCTTTCCGTTTAGACACAGATGCGCTGCTGACCTGGCTTCATACAGTGCCAGGGCTGTGGGGACAGCTGTGATTCCTGGGTCAGTGCATGGGACCCCATCAAACACCCGGGGAGCCACTGTCTGAACAACCCCAGCATGAGCTGAGCCATCCTCTCACCATGTCTTTGTCTCTGTGCCAGGACTCTGAGAGCTGCTCCCTGTACCCGGCCGGCTCACAGCAGATGCTCAGCCCAGGCAGCCCCTGCTCTTCGGCCTCCATCACCCCACTGGCCTCCCAGCACTGTCTTCAGCTGCTCCAGCAGCAGCTCCTCCAGCAGCAGCAGCAGACACAGGTGGCGGTGGCTCAGGTACACATCCCACCTTCCCTTGGGCAGCACCAGCCCTGTTCCTCTCCCTGTAGAGCCGGGCTGGGCTGGGTAAACGGGAGTTCACGGCGTTGCGCAGCGATGGCCCTACAAACCACCAAACCTACAAACCGGGGATACTCCTTCGAGGCGTGGGGACCAATTCCCCTCCCGCCCCACCTCACACGCCGCCCCACCCAGCGCTGCCCCTCCAGCCCCTCCCCGAAGCCCCAATCCATCGCCTCGGGCGGAGCACCGCGCGGCCGCCAGGGGGCGCCAAAGCGCCGCGCAGCGCCGCGGGACAGAGAAGGGAGCGGGGCGGCTCCGCGGGTGCTGGGGGAGAACCGGGGGGACCGGGAAAGGCTCCGGGGGGACCGGGAAAGGCTCCGGCGGCGCCGGCCCCGCAGCCCCATCCCGCCCGCAGGTGCAGCTGCTGAAGGACCAGCTGGCGGCAGAGACGGCGGCGCGCATCGAGGCGCAGGCCCGGGTACGGCAGCTGCTGCTGACCAACCGCGACCTGCTGCAGCACGTCTCGCTGCTGGTGCGGCAGCTGAAGGCGCTGGAGAGCCGGGCGCAGCGGCGGCAGCCGGGTGAGCGAGCGCGGGGAGCGGGCACCGGGCACCAGGCACTGGGCACCGGGCACCGGCAGCCCCGGGGCCGCCCGCGGCTCCTCACCGCCCCTCGTCTCTCTGTGCCCCCGCAGTTGACCGCTCGCTGCAGAACCTGTCCCTGGCGCAGTCGCTGTCGCTCAACCTCAAGAACCACTACAGCCTGGACTTCGCCCTGCCCTCCACCTCCACCCCCGCCAGCGTCCTGGGCAGTCCGGTGGCTCCCCGCTCGCCGTCGGCGCTGGGCGCCGGGGATTCCTACCTCAACCTGGTCGGCCTGGAGGGGGCCGGGCCCTGCTTCGGCAGCAAGGACGGGGCCGAGGGCCCGGCGGGGCACGAGGGGCTCAGCCGGCGCGTGGAGGGCTCCGAGGTCAGCGACTTCGCGCTGCTCAGCGGGAGCGGCCGGCAGAAGGCGGAGGACGCAGACAGAGGGGACGAGGACAGGTGGGGCTCCGCGGCCGATGCAGCAGCTGAAGTGGGAGCTCCCTGCCCCAGTCAGCACTAATCCAAAGCGTAGCACCGTGCCAGCTAACATGTAGAAAATGAACCTTACGCCAGCCCGAAGCAGCACAACAGCACCGGCCAGAGCAGCGCTTGCAGCTGCTGGGGTATGGGAGGGAGAGCTGTGTCCTTGGCAGAGGACAGTCAGGTTGGGGACAGGCAGTGCCAGGCATGCTGGCTGACTCAGACAAATCTCAGGAGGGCAGAGCCTGGGGTGGGATTCACCACGTGCACACATGGGAACAGGGATGGGGGATGCTGTCTGTCCTGCTCCTGCTCCCTGGAGCAACTCAGACAATGCTGCGTCCCTTGCACGCCCCAGCTCCAACCTACACAATGGTGGGTTGCACTGAAGACATGCAAAGAGGGATCTGCCCTTTTGGAGAGCCCAGGGCAGCTAGACTGAGCCCTGTGTGCAGGTAGGTAAATCCTTGCCCATCACCTCCTCTTTGCTCTTGTTTCCCAGGCGGCAGCAGCCCATTCCCAAGCTCAACCCGCCACCACCCATCCTACGCAAGAGGTCAAGCAAGACCTCCCCGAGCTTAGAAGTGGACATTAAGCCTGAGAGTACAGCCCATGTGAGCCTCCCCAGCCCCAGTGTGTCCGGCCTCACCAGCATCACTGCCACCTCTCTCACCCTCCTGGACCCTGAGGCAAGGACTCCTGCACGGAGCGCTGCTGCCAACGCAGAGCCCCTCTCTGTTGGGACCTTCCAACGTGTCCTGAGCAAGGACAGGTCTGGAGAGAACGGGCACACGTCCCCTCCATCCAGCATCTATGATCCCACAGCCAGTGATGCCCTGAGCAAGGACTTGGCCTCACTGCTGAGCCCCACGGACAGCACGCTGCCATTCTCCCCTGCAGATGACACCTGTTTGCACATCAGCTTCTCAGAAGATGAGCTGCTGGAGCCAGAGCTGGACACTGCTGTGGGGCCAAGCAGGGTCCCTTCTTAGTTGGACACAGCACTGGCAGCTGGCTGACAGGCAGTCCCAGTGGCTCTTTCCACATCGCTCCCCCTGCACACTGGGGTTACAGGGTCCCTGTACCCTGCCTGGGTCAGGTCCCTTCGCTGTCCCTGCTCCATGCATCAGCTCTTCCTGCCACATGTGGGCTGCAGCACAGAATGCAACCTGGTCAGCTCCTGTCCCAGTCTGCACCAGTTCACGCTGTCTTCCTGCTTTCCCCAGCCCTTTTATGTTCTGCCCTTCCCTTGGTCAGTTGTGCCATGTGGGTCTTTGTCCCAGGGAGCTCTCACTTCTGCTGCTGGGCAGAAGCATAGATCCCACTCATTACCACATCCCTGGCTGCTGCAGACAGCCCCAGGGCCACCATGTCCTTCCCACTGCATCCCCCAGCCCCAGTGTGGTGGGGTGGCCTCAGGAGGAAGAGATGCAGACACCTCACTGCCTTGAGACCGGTCCTGTTTTGGAGACAGCAGCTTCACTGCCCCACTGCTGTGTCCCTGTGCAGCAATGCCACCACTGCCTCTATCCAAAGGTGCCTTTTCCTATGCTGGGGCACCTACTGTCCATGCAGGCTGGGGCTGCCCTGCAAGAGGCTGATATGGAGTGACTGCCTACAGGGGAGAGTCAGGAGCCCTGTGCCACAGCAAGTGCTCCACATGTCTTGGGGTGGCAGAGGCAGCTGCTCCATGCACACATCTCTGAGCACTTTGGGGCTGCTCTGTCATGTTGGGGTGTTATGAAATGGTTCAGTGTGAAGTTGGAAGCATGAATGTCTGGGGTTGAGTTTGCAGATGGAAGGTTTAGGGAAGAAACCCAGCCGTGTGGGGAGAGCCAAGGCAATGCTTGGTGCTGCCACGCATCCCTCATCAGCAGAGGCTGGAGTAGGTTCTGGGGAGGGACCCTGGGAGGTGATCCTCCACTCGTTGTTTGCAAGAGGAGGTTTGGGAACGTACTGGAGGCTGGAGTTGGGGAAGTGTCAGGAGATGGAGGCTCAGAGCAGCCATTCTGTCCCAGTACAGAGAGTGACAGGACCTCAACAGCACAGCACTGTGGGGCCCAGGGCTGACCAGGAGCCAATGGGAGCTGATGGCAACCACCAGCACTGCTGAGGATACATAATGCGAGCTGTGGATTTGTAAAGCTGTGGTTGGGCTGTGTTAGTGTGGTAGAGACAGATCGACCGCTCCTTAGGAAATAAAGTACACTGCAGTTTGGTAACTGACTTTTAAAGAAAATAAATGCCTCAAATTTGCAGAGCTGGTGCCATGTTCTCTGCCCCACTCACCGGGAGCATCTCATCCCCTAGCCCCAGTGCTCCTAGGCACAGTTTGGTGCTGCAGTTTTCCTAGTTAAGGAACATCCCACCCAGGAGTCAAGGCAGCTGCAGCCCCATCCCTGGCCCACTCCTCTCAGGGAGGGTCCCTGCATCCCCCTACTGTCACAGCCACAGTGCAATTGTGAGTCCCAGCTGCTCCCCCTCACAGTGACAAGAGGTCTCGTGTCACCACACACTGCCACGTGGGTGCCAGGTTCCTCACCAGTGACAGGGACCATTTCCAAAGCATCTCCTGTCAGCACACAGCACCAACACTGTCCCACAGCCCCCAACTGCAGCCCACCCTAAGACGTCTGGCTCTGGGATGGGATGGGGCAGCCCCCAGTGCACATATTGCCATTTTTCATTCCCTGGTTTCTGCTCCCAAACCAAACTCTGGCCCACAAACCAAGCTCAACCTGGGCACACAGGGAAGGAGAGGGGGTGGGATCAAGGTGGGGACAGGAACCTGCAGCACCACATCCCCAGGCAGCACCCGGTCCTGCAAACCTGAAGGGGCTGCAGCCTCCAGCAGAAGAGGCCAGAGGTGCCCTTCCCAGGGGATGGAAGCAAGCAGCCATCTGCCTGGGGGGGCATGCAGGGAGGGGGCATGTCCAGCTCCGTGCTTATTGTGCTTCCTGCATGGGAAGAAAGTTTTTCCTCTGCTGTCTGGTAAGCTGCTAGCAATCATCAGGCAGGCAGGTGGTAAAGATTCATATCCATCAAACAATGCTATTTAGTTTGTAACCTGTGACTAAATCTGGTGTTAGCTTTAATTTCAGAGTCTGCTTTAGGGCTCGCTTGTTAATCTCTATGCAAAGCAGATGAAATGAATATGCAGCATTTTGGATGTAATTGTACGGCTTCAATTCAGCACTATAATTTTCCAAACAGGATCTTGCAATCAAGCTTCTATTCATTAGTGTATAAACAATTTAGTTTCTCAGCTCTCCAGTATGCCAATCATTTCAATGGAGTGAGCATCTCTGACAAAAAGAGAAGGAAAGTTTCCTTTGTGTAACAGAGGTAAAAGTTGCTCCATACTCAGGCAATTCCTGCCTGGCAGCCCCTGGCCAGTTCTGCGGAGGCAGCCGCATCCGGGGCCGCTCAGCACTGAACGCTGCCCATGGGCGGCACCACCACATTCCAGTGTCAGCACCTCCCCGCCGACGCAGCCCCCAACCATGGGTGGTTCTACCAGTGGGACCCCAGAGGTGAGCACGGACCCTCAGAACATGGCCAGGTGGCACCGTGGGCCATCCCCACTGCTCCAACCAATGTGTCCGGCACGTGTCCCTCGGAGGTGAGGTGGGACGAGAGCCTCAACAAAGGGAAGCGCCATCGGCAGAGCCACTCCGCACAGGCTCCGTTTCCAAATGAATATCGACAGCGCTAATTACAGGCCGCCATGCAGACAGCTTATTAGCTTGTCACAAAAAGACGGTATTGAACTCAAAGCCCGCGGTATTCACGAAGCGCAGCAAGACGCTCCCCAGACAGCACAGCGAACCAGGCAAGCGAACAACCTCCAGCAAAACTAATTACTTCCTGATTGTCTACGGCCACCCACTGGGTATAATAGTATAGACTAAATTTGGCATATACATAACTAAGCACTCGGCACCAATTTGGCATACAATAATCATCCTCTGTGTTGCATAATTAAAATCTGATCATTTGGAATAATCATTTCATATTCCTGATGCTGGGTGAGGACTGCACGGTGCAGCACAGGAGGCGCAGGATGGATCATTCAGTGCTGCCCAGCCCGTGGGCACCGCATGGCCTGAGCTGTGAGGCCACCCCCACGCAGATCCCCCCAGTCCAACCCAGGACCATCCGTGCCCATGGCCGGCACACAGCACGCTGGCCTCCCGCAGGCAGGCTGCTGACCCCACGCCTGTCCGGCCCCATTGTCATCGCACGTCTGCTAAAGGCGTTTGGAAAGACAGGGGCAATAAAAAAATAAAATAAAACAGAACGTGTGTGTCTAATCCATTCACTTCCCCTTGTGGGCTCCCCGGGGATCCGGCGAGGAGGAGAAAGAATATGTGGATATTGCACGCGCCCTGGCACTTTGTCCCCGGGCCAACCCTGCTGCTGGCCGCTGCCACAGCTTGCGCTACCCCAGGCTCATAAATCAGCACGGGTGACAGCGTTTCACAGCTCGCTTCCCAGCCAGGATATTGCCATTCCTGCTGATTACACAGCCAGAGCGCGGGGGAAGCTGCATCTCCCACTTCCAGGAAGGGAGGCTCCGCAAGGAAAATGCATTGATAAAAAGAAGAACGAAATCAGCTTTGTTCACGTTGCGAATCTCCCATTGTTCCTACTGTGACCGTCAGCCATCGCTGGAGAAAGTATTTCCTCAGCAATAAATCTCCTGGGCTCCTCGGCAGCCCTCGCCTTGGCACCAGACCCTCCTTGTGTTGTTTTGCAAGAAAAAAGCTGCTTCTGACACTACACCAGCTCCACATGGGAGTCCCAGCCACAGGACTGATCCTGCGCTGACTTCTCAGCTGGTTTTGGTGACTGCGAGCAGGCGGCTGGAGCAGCACTCTGGGAGGAATGTGGGGCATTTCAAGGCCTGAGCTCAGCCCCAAGACTGTGATTTCAGGAGACAAGTGCTGGGGGGAGTGTTATCCTGGGGGCCCCTGCCCATGTCCACAGCCGGCACCACAGCAGGACATGCCGGTCCCTGGGCCCTCACTTGTCATTTTCCCTCGCAGCACACCACGGCTGCTGCCACACATGTGCCCCTGGCCAGCACATAGCAGCTGGTGCAAGCCAGGGAGTGCACATCTGACCACGGCCACACTACTCCCAGTGCCGAAACACAGAGCTGGCTCCTGCCAAGAGCCTGAAATACAGGAGTCAGGCTGACAGTTGTACAAGAAAAATAGATCAAGTTTCCAAGAAAATACAGGCAAGCTGATCTGATTTTCATCAGCATCTTCAGCTGCCTTTCGGGAAGCCCCAGCCCTCTCCTCATTCCTGCTCTCCGCTTTACAAACCACTTAATTCATTGTTGCTTTGGAAACCCTCACAAAGACCCTCTGCATCCCCCAAAATAACGAGCAACAGATGCTGCTTTGACCTCAGCAACTTCCTGGAAACATACATTTGTCAAAATAAAAATAAAAAGATTAATGTGAGGAAGGCTCTTAAATTATAAGAAAATAGCAGACATGAGAGCCTGGCTGCGCACGCCTGTCATTTGTAATGGCCACGGAGCGCCTGGGCAGGCAGTGGAGCCTGGGGTCCCCACATCCTTTGGGATCCCCCCAGCTCAGCTGTCCCCATGAGCCAGGAGCTTTTGGGTTAAGGTGCTCAAAAGTCTACAGGCTTCACTCTCACCCTCCAGCTGTGACCACCCAGCACACCCCAGGGCTCACAGAGAGCACAAGCAAATATCTGTGGGTGGATGGAAGCCCCTTTGTCTTGGGGCTCACAGCAGCCACATGAGTAAGCAATGCAACACAACACAATAGAACACAACAGGGGCACCCACCAGCACCTGCAGCAGGCAAGGCGGTTCTGCAGGCTCCACACAAGTAGAGCCCCTTTTCGCTCTCAGCTTTATAGGATCAGCCAGCAATGAGCTGTAGGGCTGGGTCACCTGATTTCTTGGTGCAGCTGTTTGCAGGTTGGCACACATGGGCTCCCAGCTTTGTGCTGCTGTGTGGCAGCATGTTGCTTGAGGGTTGTCACCTTCTCAGGGTTCTTTCTGCCCTAAGGACCTAAGAAGTGCTCAAGTCTTAGCAAGGGGCTCTGGCCCCATGGGAAAATACTGTGGCGTGGTAGCAGCAGAGCTGAGGCACTCAGCCTGACTGAGCCCCTTGTTGTGACATCCTGCAGCCCAAACCCACAGCTGCTCTCTGCCCCTTGCACAGCCCTGGGGTGTCAGGGGTGCTGGAGACACGATGGTGGCACAAGGTGAGAACAGCTCAGCTGCTCTGTGCCAGCCTCACGGGGTGCTGGGTGCTGTTGTGCTGTGAATGCAAATCCTGACCTGGGCTGGGCTGGGGGCTCTGCCTTCCCCCACCCCAGTGTAATGCCTCCAGTAGCTATGGTAACTGCTATATACATTTACATATTCTTCCAGTTAATCACGGGGACATCCACAGCAACTGTCTTTGCCAGTGGTTGTTTTCGTTCTTCTGAATGTAGGCTGGAGCATTACCCACCTACAGCCTCTTTCCCACAACAGCAAATCCTCCATGTTACCCCTTCCCCACAGCCCCCACACGGCTGCGGCCCTCCAGCCCCACACCCCCGAATCGCTCAGCACTGGCACTGCAGGTCCCACAATGTTATCATTGCAGCCTCTCCCCCAGCCCCAGGGGAGGCACAGGGGCCTGCCCAACTCTCCACCTGTGCCCTCAGCAATGGACAATGAGCTGGCAGCCCCCATAGGCTGCAAACCCCCCACATCCCCCTTCCCCCCCCATCTGTTTGCTTACCTGAGACCAGAAGCAGTTACAGAAGCAAGGAGATGCCGTTACACTGTGTCCTGTAGCCTCCTGCAGCTTTCAGTGCTGTCATGGTGGGGCCACATTCTCAGCAGCCCATTCAGGGGCTTGAGCGACGTGGGCTGGAGCAGGGCCTGCCTCAGAAAAGCCTTCCGAGGCATTAGGAAGCACCAGGAACTCCCCGGTGAGCCCATGGGTGCCAGCAGGTGCATGTGGGCACTGCCAGCCAGCTCCCAGCACTGGTGCCAGAGGCCGCCTGTGCCAAGGGCTGAGGAGCACAGGCCCAGCACGGCGCTCCAGGCTGCGCTCAGGGCTGTGTGTGGAGGGCGCCGCCTCAGCACGGCCGCCATTTTCTCTCAGCGTTTCTCACCCAGGGTTTGCCACTTTTTCCCTTTACATGTTACAGCTGGTGGCACCTTGGCCACAGAATTCATTTGCTGAGTTAGGAGGAGGAAAGCCACCAGAGCAAACTGCCCTGATTAATTTTGGCACTGTAGGGAGCACAGCACAGAGCCGTGTGGGGCCACGAGCAGCAGGGCAGCTCCCACACACGGCTCAGGACAGCACACCCAGCAGCGCACTGCCCCGGGGTGCTGCAGGGCACTGCAGTGCTGTGCATGCACAGAGCAGCCCTCCCCAGCCCTGCTCCACCACCACTGCAGACCCCCTGGTTTCCTCTGCCCTTTCCACCGAACCAACCCACAGAAAATTTTATAAACTTGAGGAAACGCGAGTCAAAGCAGGAGTCCTGTGCTGAGCCAAAGCCTGACCTCAATAACCTCCCCATTTCGTCCAGCCTGAGACCTCGTTATTATCTGTCAGCATGTGCTGAGTCTCCTCCTTTGGGACCACACCAGTCCCTTCCGGAGGCCCCCCCCCCAGCCACACTCCTGAGCCCTGCATTATCTCTGCTGCTTCCCCTGATGGGCGATGCCAGGGCAGGGCGCAGTGCCTGCAGAGGGGACGTGGGGACAGCAGTACCAGCACTGAGGGGCACAGCCGTGCTGGAAGAGGCAGCAAGGCACAGCAGTGCAGGGGCTGGGGCACAATGGAGCACAATTTGCTGCCTGAAGTTCTGACCTGTCTGGCCAACAGCAAGGCAGTAACAGGCTGGGAGTGTTTGGTGCAAAGGAAGGAAATGGAAGAATTAAATCCACAGAATTTCCCTGCTTTTGTTCTCCCTCCCGCCTCCGCTCTCCTCCTTGGCCGCTAGTTCTTTTTGCGTAGGGCTCAGTCCTACCCAAGCGAGCTGGAAACGGGGTCCATCAGCTGAAAGCAATTTACTTTGAAATCCAGGTGCCAGATTTTCCTTCATTTGTTTACTTTAAAATGCTTTTTTAAAAGCCAAAGTACACAAGGCAGGCAAATTGCTGACATGTGTGCCGGGCCGGTACCCCGCAAACGCTGCATTCTTTCATGTCCTCCTGGGCTCAAATCCACTCATGTTTATTTAAAATACGTAGAACACTTCAGCACTATTAAGGACCACGTTCTATAGTAAATGGAAAAAGATTTCCTCACAGGCCAGGAGGAGAGGGAAAGAATCACTTCAATTCAGTTTTGTTCTGCAGCACTTTGCCCAGCCACCCACAGCTCAGCCCGGCGCCAGCACCCAGTAGCACTGGGGCCATGGCAGCCACCATCCTCCACAGCACCATGCACTTGGAGTGCCTGGGCTCGAGCCTTGCCCCCAGGGATGCATCGAGCAGCAGTGGCTGAAGGAATCCAGGGCTGGAGGTTCTCTGCTGCTTCTGAACATCTCAGCTGTCCTGCTGCACCAGGAGGTGGAACAGGCAGAGAACAGGCCAGACCCACTTGGTTTATTACAGATGGCACAACGCACCCTCTTCTATATATGAAGATGCTGGCACAGAGAACAAGTATTTTTAAGGACAGTAACAGGGAAAAGGAGGTAAATATGGAAGTAAATAATCAAACTTAGAACTTTAAAGCATATCCATAATGCAGATATTTAAGGAAGGAAGGAGTGTGGGATGGGAGTTTTCTACTAAGGCTGTTGCTCCCTAAGCCATTGCTCTATGGTTGACAGGGCCTGAACTCCACAGGGTAATGCAAGGATGTACATCAAAAAATGAAAATGTCAACATACAGCAAATAAATCCTCCAGGCTGTTGTCACTGCTCAAGCATAAGGAAAGACATGGCAGCAAACATGGAAAGAAGAAAGGATGATTTACATTTTTAGTTCAGTGATCTGCTACCACCACCAGAGATGGACACTTGTGTTGTGAAAGTGTGCTAGCACGCCTCTGGCAGACATTCCTAAAAGAAAATGCTACTGATGCAGCCAGAATTGATCTGTTCTGTTTTGCAGCAAGAAGTACAAGAAAGCAGAAACCTCCACCTATTAACTGTTAATAATTTAGAGTGCAGCACCTTCATAGTTTTATTGTAATTAGCCAGACTAGTAAATCTTCAAAAGGATTTCTCCAGCGGAATTCCCAGACTATAATTATGTCATGCCCTTAACACAACTGGCTTCGCTCACGGTTAGAAGAAACAAAGGTGCTAAGCAAGTGATGATGGGGAGCAGAAAAGGGTTTGCAAGGACAAACACTGAGCACTGGTACTACATGCGCCCTGGGGACTTCCACTTCTGCAAGCTAATTCCTCTGGTTCCTGGGCTTCCTGCACACATTCCCACATATTACACCACTGCAAGAACTGTTCAGATCTGAAAGCTGGCTTTTGCAATCTCTGGAAGATAGAGATTTGCACTGTTCAGCACAGGGAAACGCTCTTCCAGGACTGCTCAAAATGCACTCTGTGCTCAGGGTGCCACTTCTCACCTCCAGTTTCTCTAACAGGGACATCTCTGTTCCCTGCCAGTGTGGTCAGCACGTGCAGAGCTAAGAGGTTTAACAGCTGCAGGGATAAGTGAAGAGGGTAGAGCTGTGCACAAATCCTTTTGCTAGCTGTGGGGAAGAAGAGCAGTGAGCAGGGTCTGTGCCTGTCCTGGCCAAACACAGCTTTGCCCAATACCTCTCTCCAAGGGGCTTTACAAGGACAAAGATGGTAAACAAGCAGAGAGCTCTGTGCCAGGTGGAACCACCCAGTGCAAAGAGGGAAGGGACGTGCTGTGCCCTAAGGCCACACAGGAGCCAGCAGCAGGCAGGAGGTGGAGCTGGGCTGCCTGTCCCCTGTGCAAGGCTCTGCCCTCCAGCCCACACTGCTCCCAGATCGCTCCGTTCTTTCCCCTTTGCAGCACACTGGTGTAAAAGCAGAAAACAAACACAAGAGCCTGTAACAATAAAAGAGCACAATAACTGATAGTAAAGACTTGGCAGCTGTAGGGAGCCAAAAGCTTCTTGGAGGGGGTTGGATGGAAGCTGAGTTTCCCTCCCTGCTTGTATTGTATTTCTTTCCTCTGCCAAAATGTGCTTCCTGAGTCTTGGGCAGAGCTCTCTGCTGCTGACCCTCACCTTCCTCTGTTTAGCCTGGAGCGTAGGCTTGCCACGAGCGCCTGAGGCCGCGCCTGGGGACAGGCAGAGCCTCCCGCTGCGTGCACATGGCCAGGGTCAGGCCTGCTGTCAGCAGCTTCCTGGAAACGACAGCCAAGTTGGGCCACACCTGACTGTGTCCCCCAGGAGCAGCCAGGCAGAGACCAGGCACGGCAACCCAGAGAGCGGCTGGGGAGTGATTACAATCGCTGTGGCTGATGCTGAAGGGCTCTGTCCAGTCCTTTTCTCTTGGACAAAGACAGGTCATGTTCCACTTGGCACAGCTGTAAGCAGGCAGCAAGAACAAAGCAGAGGTCAGACAGTGCTCTCATCAAAGAGGTAATTTTGACTCCATTTAAATTCTAGCCCCCGATCGCATGGAAGTAGAAGCTTGCACTACTACTCATAAAGAACTGAACCACCCTCGTGGTGACTCATGGTCCTTAACAGAGCTGCCATGCTGATTTTACAAACATTAGAGCAATGCCTCTGTGTTCTGTAAGCTTTAACCTATCAACTTGGGAGCAGACCCACCGCTTTTTTAGAAAGCTCCCCTTCCCCTGTATTTTATTTCCTTTCTTGGTGCCAGAATCAGAGCCAAAGCCAAGCTTAACAAAGCAACAGGCATGGCCATTTTTCCCAGCCCTCAATTCCACTGATGATAAGGGAGAAATTAATTTAAACCCTATCAAAACAGAAAAAGCTGTTCACTATTTTGTGCTGCAGAACAGTGTTAACAAAACACTTGCTCGATCCATTCGCATTTGCCAGTCCAGCCAAGAATACAAGAACATGCAGGTCTGAATCCTTTTGTTTGAGCATCTGCAATAGACAGATGCTGACAAACGTGATCTGAGCTATTTCCTAGGCAGTGAGGGGTGCAGGAACAAGGAGATGCCTGGGATGCAGGCAAGATAGAAAGGCTTTTCTCTTATCAAATGCTCTTCTTGTTTTGCTTTCAGTTCTCTGAAATTCTGGATCCAGTCAGATAAAGCAAAACTCTTCACTTCCAGCAGCTTCTGCTTTGTGTCCCAGCCCTGCAATAGCCTGGAGCAGCTCCCACACAGCCAGCAGGCTCAGAATACACAGCATTCTTGTCATCAAACACAGACATCAAGCATAAGAGGAACCTGCACCAATGCACACATTAGGCTTGCCAACACTTTTGCAATACATGCAAAGGAATTAAGAAGCCTGCCTGTGAAGTAGGGGGAAGAAAAAAATAAAAAAAAAGGGAATAACCCCTGAGCTGCCAAGCAAACTGACCCACCTCTGGTACCTGAGAACCAGCCCCCTTTCAGCATCTGCTTGCTGGGCTAATTTACTGCCCTAATGTACAAAATAATACCACAGACATTTTGCTTGCAGTTTGCTGGGCAGTATTTTCTCTGCTCTTATCCCTTCACCAGCGTACTATCTGTACCATTCACAGCCATGCAGGAGATGTCTCAGAGCAGACTGATATCAAGATCCCATTGAGGAGGGCTCATGTGCAAAATAACATAGCCATGAAAGCATTAACAGAACAGTAAGGTTAAATTTAAGACCGTTTGTTAAGGTCATGTCTATCTCTAATAGAACAAATAATGTGTTTTTACATGAAGCACCAGGCACATTCCTTCTCTGGATTCAGAGGAGCAATTAAATCACACTGAGATTTCTCAACCTCTATCTATCTGGCTGTCTCAATATCCTTAACTTGTATCAAACATGATTGAGGCAATCATAACTTTTTCAACCCATTTTCCTTCCTCTTCTTGCTTCACACTATGTGAAGAAAAAAAAAAAAAGAGTTGAAACAATGCTTAAATGAATTTTGTAACAAAAAAGAATATTTAATCGAGTTACTATTAGCAATACTGAGTTAGCCTTAGGACTTCCATGATAACAAGATCTCCATACAAATACCCAAAGATCAACTTGAAGCAGCCACAAGAGGGAGTCTTAAATCTCTTATTAATATCCAGATGGATTCTACTTTCAAAACATTTAGTGCAGGAGTAAGCCTTCAAAAACAAAGTTACTGTGAACTCCCAATTTCCTCTCTGCTTTCACAGAAATATCCTTATTCTGATGACAAAAAATCTTCAAAACCTTTGAAGCTTCTTCTCTACTTATGAATGGGCAAAAAAGAAAATTCCTCTTCATTTATCATGGCTCCATTCTAGAAACTGAAGCTAGAGGAATAATACATGAAAGGCTTTTGCCCTAGCAAATCTCAAGCTCACAGATGTCTGAGAGGCTAGTTCAACCTAAATTGAATCCTAGAAGTCTGTTTGTTGGGTGTTTTTTTTTTTTTTTGCTTTAAAAAGAATGAGTGACACACAATAGAATTATTAAATAGGCAAGAGAGGTTATTAAAAATCAATTCCTTCCCATTACTTTCTCAGATGAACAGTTTGGTGGCTATAAGCCAAGAGGGTCTTACTGCTGGGCTCCCCTCATTCCAGCTAACAGGACATCTCCAGCTCTTTCACCCTGGGAAAGGAACAGAACCATTTAAAAGCAGGGGTATCAAGCTGCCAGACGTATCTTGCAGGGGTACTTTCTCCTTGGAACAATGTTGTGATGCTAGTACCTGACAATAAGCACACTCCTCCCTTACAAAGACAAGAAATTGCACTAGGATGTTTCTCTTTCCATCCACACTGAAAGGGACTGGTTTCTGCCTAATGCAGACCACGGCACGGGGCAGACTACCATCACTTTGGCTTGAAGTTCTATTAATTTCACACACGATTAAAAGCTCTGGCAGAGCTTAGAGCCTACAGCATAACAAATAACACTTCTCACATTGCCAGTAAAATATCTGTGTTGAATCTGTGTGCGTTTGCTCTCCATCTGCCAAAAAAATGTCAAGATACATTCCTCAAAAATAGTTTTATGGTCTTTACTCAATCTTGACATTCACTTGTTCTAAAGTTTCCAAAAAAACATTACAGCTCCAAAGGGAGAATCTATATTTGAGTAAAGCCACACAACAACTTTCAACAGAAATAGCTACATGCAGGCACTGTCCAAAGTACCAAGAAACAGACCTTTGGCAAGACTTTTTGTGGAGATTCAGCCAAGAGATAAAATCCATGAACTAATTACCTCAAAGAAGTTAATGAAAGAAGTGCCCACAGTACAGCTGAATTGTACTTGACTTTACAATCACTTAATTATCCTCCTCTGCTGCACTCTTTTGTAAATTCACCTTCCCACTCCTGCATGAAACTCAACTGGGAATCTAAGAAAGCAGTTAATTCTGACTTTTAAACAAAATCAACACATAACCACAGGATCAACAGCTTCCAATCCAAAACATAGTAGATTCAGCTGTCAGGAGAGATGACTAGACTTAAACTGTCGAGGCTGCAGCTTAAATCTCTTTTCCCCCCCTTACAGTAATTCTCCCCCCCCCCCTTACAGTACTAGCCAGTATAAGTGCAGGATTTGTAAACACATCCCCTCCACCTACTTATGAATGTCATTCTTTTCAGAATGAATTTAAACAGGGAAAAAAAACACCTAAACCTCTAACTATGTAAGGGGCTGACCAGAGGAATGTCCACTCAAAAGCAGATGTTCAGTTCCAAAGCGTTTCATACAATATGCTGACAATTTAAAGCTATTACTTACTATGTCTTACTAATATATAAAATATATTTTTGTAAGGTTGCCCAAGTAATGGAATGGGTCAACACGATTAGATGCAATACATGTTAACATCACAGGAACATGCATCTTCTACTTGATGATACTACAGATTAATGTAATTAGACCTCAAACTTCCCCTAATTTCAATCTCTGGGGAAAAGGTTATTTTTCTTCAGTAATATATGGCTGCTCTGAAATAATGGCAGTCATCTGTAAGGAGAAACTGCAAAGGTTTAGACAAGTAGATGTTAAGACAGCATGATATGTACATTAAAATGCAAACATGTATGCCAGAGCACCTGCTTTCTGAGTTTCAGTCTACATACCCAAATAGAAACCAGCAGGAATCCATCAGCCTCACCATACACAAGCTATTTTTAGATATAGGGTTATATAATTTTTCCTCTAGCTCCATGGATCAATGCTTCAGCTACAGACACATTAAGCTTAATCCTACCCCAAACAAGGAGATAGTAAATCTTCAGATCCTGATTTCACTGTTAGTCTACTCAAGGAGTAAAGTACTATTCAAGTCTTTGCTGTGGTTCAGACTACACAATCTGGCCCAGGTCAAACTGAACTGCACATAGCTTTATGAAAACAAGTCCATTTGTTTGTTCTGACATGATATGGTTCTTGTCATTGGAGGAGAAGAGCACAGGAAAGACTAGACTGATGAAATATAAGATTGGATACTGCAGAAAAGAGAAGTTAGTTGGAGAAAGCTGCCATAATCCTCTATCAGAAAGAATCAGTGAGACAGCACTGCCCAAGCCCATGTCAGGTCCTTCAGTCAGGAGATGAGGTACCTTCTTAAACCACTTAACAGAACAAAGTCCTTTAGAAGACAGTCTTTCTTAAAGGAGTTGATTCACTGTGATTTTGCTGGAGAAGTAGTTTGCACTTCCCATTAACAAAAATAAACAAAAGCAACTAACCTACCTGCATGAGGTTTAAATAGCTGGTAATGAGAAGTATCCTGTTATTGAAAGCAGTACTGATCTCACACCCATCAAAACCACCAATTCAGACTAAAAGCTTGCTCCTAGACAGGTCCTAGGTAAAAATCTGCACAATTACTAGTTGCAAGATTGTACAGGAAGACAATAACATCTTGTTAGCTTTCAAAGTTTACTTGATGCAAATGACAAGGTTCTCACCCTGGTTTTTGATCATTTGAAGCTCAAATACTCACACATCATAGCAGCTAAGAAATACAGACATGTATGTTTAAAGAAAGTCTGCTAAGTCACGTAACTTTTTTTTTTCTTTAATCATGAAAGTTAAAGTTATACTCAACATGTACTGGACAATTTACATTTGTAATCAATGTACCTTTGCATTTTAGTTATGGCACAGTCTGCCCACTTTACCACGTCCAGAAAAAAAACCTACTGCCAAATGGAGAAGGCTTCAGCTCTCCTTCAACAGGTGGATTGGGCTCTGGCCTAGGTCTAGAATGATAGGCATTCTCAGGGATAGGTCGGTCTGTCTTCACTTTTGTGACCTATGAAGAAAAGGTAAAGAATTACACAGCTTCCTATGGCATTCAACAGAAAAGCTAGGTTAAGGGAAGCACCACCAGATCACGCTAAGGACACAGTACAGACTGGATGAGAGACTCCTACCTCCAGTGTTTAAAAAAAAAAAAAAAGTAGTGAAGGGCATTTTATACACAGCTGTGTCACAGTTCTACAAGCGTGTGAGCTTCACTAAAGGAAGGGTCTCTGCATCAGATAAAAGTAAATTAGGTGGAGAAATATGTGCAAAGTGCAGGTCTTCCAGGAACGCTAGAGAATGCTGAAAGAGTCTTGATTTCTAGTAAAGTCTACAAGCTTCCAGTGTTGAGTTCAGGTATCGCCTTCTGAGATGGGAGAAAAGTTTGACACCAGGTCTGGAAAAAATACATGAAGGAAGGAAAAGAGGAATCTGATTACCCAGTCAGAACAGCAGTTACCTTAGAGAGCTGTCCCAGATCAGGTCTCACCCATCCCAACTTCTCCAGCACACAGTTATCAAACACTGCCTGCTGCTTTCGGCATCGACGGAGCTCCTGCAAGTTGCTATAGTCAATGCACGTCCAGTATTCAGTAAATGGCTCTGCACAGTGCACCTTAATCTTCCTGTAAGAGATTGCAGAAAGAAAACCGTTGGCAAGTGGTATAGAGTTAGTGTTTTCCTCTCTTACTCATTCAAACCTCAATTTTTGAATTTTCCTAGTCACAATTCCTCGCATCCACCTAAGGCTGTCAGAAGCCAGTATCTGAAGCACCATTAAACAGAACCTAATGCCAGCATCACAGAAGTTTGCATCACTGTGGCTACAAGCAGTGATAGCAGCAACTTGACCAATATGTGGAGGGTGTTCTTGTGAAGTAGATGGACACAGCTCCCCCACGTGTGATGTTCCTTTGGTTAGCTAAGGTAGCACACATTACACAGTGTTCTAATAACTCCCAATTACTTTGATGTCTTCAGAAAGGAGGGAGGCTCTGATTACTGCCTGCTACAAGAGAGGAGGATATGCTCTGAGCAGGCCGAGTCAGGCGCTGTGCTGGCAGCCTAGGAACACAGCTGGCACTGACACATGCCCCAGCTGTCCTTTTGCCATAAGAACTCAATTCTGAAGCAACCGGAGTTTTTACAGTAGTGTGCATGTGAAACAGGTGACAGCATGGAATTTCGGCTTCCTTTCCAGATTTCACAACACACCTATAAGCAGCAAGGCGCTCTGCAGCAGCAAGAAAGGACAAGGTCAGCTGTAAGCAGATAAACAGAAGCACTGCTTATCCCGTAGCCTTAACGCTCCCCGCGGGCTGCGTCCCCCTCAGCGCCACCGCCGGCCTCCGGGCGGATCGCGAAGCTCCGAGCTGCCCGCGCTCACCTGAAGAAGTCGAGCGCGCACTGGTTGACCCGCCGGCCCTCCTGCAGGCACTTCCGCGGGTCCTTCTCCTCCCAGCGGCACAGCATGAACTCCTTGTTGGGCCGGTCGCACTGCGAGCCGTAGTGGTGGGCCGCGGCCTTCAGCACGGCCGAGCTGACCGTCACCTGCAGGGGACAAAGCGGCAGTAGGAGCGGCCGCCCCAGCGGCGCCCGGCGAGGCCGAGCCCAGCCCCTCCCTCACCTCCTGCACGTCGAGCTCCTCCAAGGAGGGCACCTGCACGGTGCCGGGCATGGCGGCGCCGCTCTCCTTGAGCTCCCCTCGGCGCCCGGCCGCCACCGCGCACGCGCCGCCGCCGGGAGGGCAGGACCGCGCGTGCGGCGGCGCGGCGGGGGGCGGAGCTCGGCGCGCCCGCGGCTCCCCACGGGCGGCGGCGTTGCCATGGCGACCGCGCCGCGCAGCGCCGCCATGGAGGTGACGGGCAGCCGCTTCTGCGGCGGCACCGAGCGCGGCAGGTGGGACCGGCGGGGGGGGAGTCGGGACGGCGGGGGGAGAGCGGCCCCAACCGCCCCTCTTCTCCCGCAGGATGGAGGGATGGGGCTCCTACACGCTGCCCACCGGCACCGAGTACCGCGGCGAGCTGCGGGACGGCGCGTTCCACGGCCGGGGCGCGCTGCTGTTCCCCGGCGGCGGCATCTTCCGCGCGGTGTGGCACCGCGGGCTGCCCGCGGAGGTACGGCGGGCGGCAGCGGGGGTCGCGGCCCGGGAGCTGCCGGCTCTCACCGGGCGCCCCGGGACGCGCCTCGCAGGGGAGCTTCACTTTTGCAGACGGCCTCGAATACGCGGCTGAAAGGTGGGATTACTGCGACGGCTACGACAGGAGGTTCTACAGCGAGATCCGCTCGGGGCTCAGAGCCGCAGGTAACGAGGAGGCGGGGCCGGCCGGCGGGGCGCGTCCTGAGCGGCGGCGCGGCGCGTTGCGGCCGTGGCTCGGCGCCCTTCGCGAGAGCCGCGCGGGGCTCCGCGTCCAGCTGTGGCGTGCGCCGCGCTGCCGTGCCCGGCTGGGGGCCGCCGTGCCCCGCTGGCTCCGTGGCCGAGTCACAGCACGGGGAGATGGCGAGATCTTCTTACCCCGTTCTTCCCGCGTGTTTCTCCGTTTTCTCCATGAGCAAAATCGTCAGAACGTTTTATGAAACTCGTTGTAAAGCGACGATGTTTTGATGGCAAACGCCAAGGAGATGTAATATTTCTTAATTATTTTGAGCGAAGTCACAAATGCAGGTGGGGGAAGTGGGGGGAAGCCAAAATAAAGCAAATCCTTTCTGGTTGTTGTTTCTAATTTAGGCATTTCTCAGCTTACCAATCTGGATCCTCCCCGACAAATCCCAGCAGGATGTTACGACTGTGGTGATGGATTCTATAATCCTGAAACCAGAATTGTCACTGACTACGAGCTGAAGTTTCTGAGAAATGCAGGTATGAGAACTTCTTTGGCACTGTAAACCCCAGTCACTTGTAGTTTTTAGGATGGGTGGTTGAAGCGGAGACTTTCAGAAGTGCTTCGGTTCTGTTATCACCGAGCTAAAATATTTCTTAAAGCTTTATTCTTATCAGCTCTTTATGTATCCCCAGAGTCGTACTGATCACATTTTGTTAAATTACAGTGAAATAATTCTATTCCCGTTTAGTAACTTAATCTCAGGAAAATCTTCAATCTCCTGCATTATGATCTCAGGGAAAGGAATGGCAGTGAGCTGTGCAGCATTCCTCTGGACAACTGGCAAGCCGTGTTGTGACCCAGCACAGAGCTCAAGCATCTGCTTGTCTTCAAGTGTGAGAACAGCCCCTTTTATTTAAATGGGCTTTAGGGCTCATACGTTGCTAAATAGGAAACTGTCTTGTCACACTCTAGAGCTGTGTTCTGAGACAAATCTGACAAAGACTGAGTCTCATGGATCCGTCCCCAGATCAATAAACCTTGATGAAAATCCGTTCTCATCAAGTCAAAAGGGAAGCATTATAAATAATATGCAAACAGAAGAACCCCCGACAGCTGACACCAGGGTAACTCAAAAAGATAATCTGACCTGAAACAAGTACTTTGTGTTCTGGCTATTTAAACTCTATGTTTATCACCCTTTTCAGTACAGATATATATATATATATATATATATTAACAAAAATGCTTTTCAAAGGAACCACCCCCCTCTTTTTTTCTTTCTAAATGTCCAAATCACAAGACCTGGTGTTTCTAGAAGACAGAATGCTGCATTTTCAGCGTGCCACAGTTGAACAATTTTGTTGCTTGGAAACTCCCTTTTTCAGAAATTTTACTATCTGTTGAAAAAAATTCTGCTCAGCTCTACTTTCAAGTGCTTTTGTGAGTGTGCACTATGATATCGGAGGAGGGAAGTGAAGGGGGGAAGCCAAATGAATTGGAGATACCATCTGCTATAAAATATACCCTATGATACATGGCCTGTTTTATAAACGTTGAATAAAAACTGATCTAGATTATTACAAATGGCATTGATCCAAAATACTGGAATGCAGTGGGCCTACTGATGAGGAAGATAAGCAACATGCTTTCCAAAAACACAGGAACCTACACAGATTAGTACAGGAGGGAACGCCTTGGAATTCAATTTATTGTTTTTTAATCTGTTCTTTGAACTCATTGTCCTTGATGACAATTATCTCAAACCCTACGAATTGTATCAATCAATATTCACTGCCCAGAGCGGCGCAGCGTGCGGCCTGACAGCATTGCTGGAGATGTGCTTTGTGTGACCATTCCCCTGCAAAGCCGGGACACAGAGTTAATCTTGTTGATGTGAGTGTGAAGAAGGAATGTGTCATGTAGGCCAGACCCTTCCTCTTAAGAACATGAACACAATTGAAAAAGCCAGCACTTGTTCAACATCAGAGGAACTCTTTCTGCCCCAGGAGAGATGATTCAGGGCACAAGGCCACTGTAGTTAAAAAAAATATATGTTAAAAAAGCCCAGCTGTAAGCAGAAGAAACTGAGGAAGAGGCTGGAATGACAGGGAACAGATCCAGAATTACTCCATTATAGGTTGGGCAGGAAGGAGCAGGAAAACCTCCAGGCTTCCAGCCAAGTCTTGAAAGCATCAAAAGCAGATGGTAGGAAGCATTCAGGAAGTTCTTACAACAGCTTGACAGGTTTACCAAAACGACACTATCTTCCTCAGGTCTGGAAGCAGGCATAAAGAATACTCCAGTTCTCACCTTTCACCCTGGCCCTATTATGAAGCAATTTCTGATTGTTTCTCGGCCGTTTGGGAAACAGAGCAAGGAAGCATACTGCCTTGGCACTGACTTTCCTGCCAAACTGGCAGCATCCAGCTATCATTCCAAAAGACTGGAAAAAAAAATAGTCTCCATTTACAATTGCAGAGTTTGCTTCCACTGCTTCTTTGTCAAGATGAGTGTTCATAGAGTACCGTAGAGACTCCTATTAAATTTGGCAAGCTTTGCATTTCACTAGCACGGAGGTCTGATCCTCATTTACTTAAAGAGCTCTTACTGTAAAGCAGAGCAAAGGCCCATCATGAAGATATAATCAAGCCCAGAGAATGAAATGACAGCAACAGTTTTGTTATACTTTAGCAAAGTTTTCCAAATTCTCATTGCAGTCTTGCAGTTATTACTCCATCCCCAAACCTCTGTTTCCTTGGGGATGCTCAAATTTCTCTTCATTCTTCATATGCTCTTCAGTCTTTTTTTTTTTTTCTAGTATTGCGAAGTACACAAAATTGGACACATAAATAAGAATAATAATACTGGTTTGTAAGGAGATACACTGTTTATTTTGAATAGGCACTGGGACTGGACTCCTGTTTCAGACAGAGTATTCTTTCTTTTTTTTTTTTCTCCCAGAAATTGGTCTCCTGGCACCTCTGTAAGAGAGTTTAGTCAATAGAAAGATAAGAGGATTTCCCAGTTTTTCAGGGAAAAGTAGGAAATATACAATGTTATGTTTAATGCAAAGCAGGTTGGTAAAAGAGAAACGATTCAAGTTTTAGAACCCCTGAATATTGGAGAGGCCCATCATTTTCAAAGAGAAAATACTGTCAGAAATAGAAATCTTGTTCTCCTGAGGAAAGCATGGTAGGAGGTTGCCTGGGTCACCTCTCTCCTGATGAAAAGCAAAGATACTTCTGATGAAAATTGCCCTGTTTCTCCTGCAGCTCTCCTGATGCTGGGTTAAATAGTATGAAACACACTTTTGCTCTTTGCAATATGAGAAAATTTGTGCTTCTACTTCTGTGCTCCATTTTCAGGTTAAATTAGTACAAGAACAGTACATAGCTGGTAGCTTTCTGCACTGCAGTCAGTATTACCTGAAATACATGCATCTCTTCATATGAGAACAAGAATAGGAAGACACAAATCCTGCCTTTATTCTATAACTCAGTCAGGTAACTGAACTAACATGCATGCTACTAAGAGCAGGATTAGACCCCAGAAGCCAAGGCAAGTGCCCACTAAGAGAAAAGGTTTTGGTGCTGCTGCAGTCCCAAGCCACCAGCAATCAGCCTAGGATTTCTACAAGCCTGAAAGTCTCATAGAAAGTAACAGGAAAAGACCTGCTGCTTAAGGAATCATTAGAAGCTGAAAAGATCAAGACTCAAGAGTATTATTTTATTCTAGTTTTAACAAGGCTGGTTTTAGACCATCCAGTTTTCCTTGGTTTTGAGGCTGACCCAACTCCATGGGCAAGTTTGAGAACACCTTTTAATTCTAAGCCTTGGTAATCATGGATTTAGAGTTACCTCACACCATTAATGTGGGATGGAGGTTCTCAAAGGAACCTCCCACCATTAATGTGGGATGGAGGTCTGAAAAGATTTAAAAGCAATTTTTTTGAAAGTCAGCAGAGATGTATTCACCCATATCAGACTTATCCAAGTATGTAAATCCACAAGATAAATCTGCTACATTTAGGCTTCTTTGACTGAAATCTCCCATGCGACCTGCACCAAGTGCTGCCTGAGAAATGGAGACTTTGACTTGTGTGAAAAACGTGAAACAGCCATAACCACTCAGTAATTACATAGGGTAATATTTCTGTACCTACCCTCATGCACCCCAAATGCACACAGATGTGTGTGTGCTCTTTCTCATACACTACTGCAGAATTGGGCGTAGGGTGAGGACCTGGCAGTTTTTCAGGCCTGGAATATTTCTGGAGAAAGACAGCAAGTTTAACTTAGAGTTGACTGTAATGCAGGGAAAAAAGAAAAAATATAAATTTTAAAGAAGACTGCAGTTGGGGATCACGCATTGATCTTTCTTCCCTGTTCTTCTTTGAAATCACCCATTCTGATGATGGAGGGAGTGGATGAGCACTCTGATTCCAGGCTAGTCCCCAGTCGTTGCCTAAGAATGTAGGAGCTGTTTTGGCAGATGCCCTTATTGCTAAGGAGAGGAAAGCCCCAGCAACACACATACAAGGGATACAGTATTTTTGTTCAAATGAATTTAGCTTCCCATCGATTTAAATGTCTACTTACAACACAGGACCATTTAATCTTTTGTACATTTGTTTCTTTTTTATTTGACTTAAGACACTGAATTTAGATGAGGTTTAGTTCCTACATATTGAAACTCTTAAAAGCTCTTCAAATAATTGTTCTTTGGATACTTGTTAAGCTAAAGAAATCAGTTTTGATCGGCAGTAAAAGTTCATGCTATTTTAAGTGCAATGCTATAGCTATTTTCTGTTGTATATTTAATCATTTTGAATTATATGTCATGTAAAAGATTTTAGCTCTGGGGCATTTGCCAGATGGCTGATTCTGCATTTCACACAACAAAAGAAATAATGTTTGTGTAAAGCTCTTAAAAATAGTTGGTAATCAGTATATTCTACAACGAATAGGATCCAGACCTGTTTGAAGAAAAAAAAAAAAGAAAAAAGCACACAAAAAAAACAGCTTTTGCAGAAATTAATTTAGAGAATTTGGTCTCTACCTCTGAGCTCTGAACAAAACAAATGATGTCCATTATTTGCTGATTTTTTTTTTAACATTTGATAAGTTAACTGAATTGTAAATTTTATGTATTTTTATGTTAAATGGCAATTATTGCAATCCATTCATCTTTTTCCTTTGCTTTTGCTCACAAACTTATTTCTGAAAAAAGGAGTTTGTAAAATAGAGAGCCTATGCTACTCTCAATTTACAGACGTAGAGCATATGAATATGAGAAGCCTTTTGCTTTTCTTGCAACAACCAAAGCTCACATCCTTTCTGCATTCTCCCCCGACTACTGCTGACTCCTCTTTCTGGCCTCTTTTATTCAAATTCCTCCAAAATACCTTTGCAAAAAGTATTTTCTCTCTCTGCCACGGAACTCAGCCTGCTTTTTTTACCCACAGCACTCCACACAAGTCCATACAAATTCACCTTCTGGTCTTATCTCCTCCATCTCCTGTATTCCTTTTTCCCTTGCAGCTGATTCCATGGAGTTTTTCTGCTCACGCTGGTATAAATCCTCCATTTTCTAGTACATGCTTTGCTGGCTCATTACTTCTATGATACTCAAAAGACTTGAAAAATATTAAGCTAAGAGGAAGGTTAGAAATTTTGCTGCAGCTCTTTAACCTGGATATCCAAGTCTCTTGTCTACCTATTCCTACTATTACATAAGTAGCTTTTGTCCTGATGTGAGAGGTGCAGACCGAAGTAACGCTCAGTGCTCAACAAGTAAGTTGTTTAGGGACCCAAACATTAGAAGTCAGAGATCGTTTGATGCCATTCAGAATGCATATTTATTATGTCTTTCTCTGCATCAAAGTCTGTTCAGGTGATGGACGTAGTTGGAGACCACTCATCCATTTCACCAAGAATATATTTTTATATTAAACTTGGCTTAAGCGCTTTAATATAAAATATACATAGATTAGATATAAACCATATTGGTTCATACTACAACCAGCAATGATAAGACTAATAGTGGCATCATGACACAAGTTACTGCAGCAATTATAGTAGCTGTAGCTTTTGCAGATATACCATTCCTTGTGGTTTGCTGGTCTTAAAATACTTATCGTTCTGGAAACTGTGAAAGTTTCAGTC